AAAAGGAAAAAAACGTAAATATGAAATAATGAATAATGCAATGTAGCATATGAAAATGTTCTTCGGATAATTGAACCGTAAAATAGTGAGTGATAAAAAAGCCTTAGTATATAAAATTCAACATAAATTTCGTTACCAAAGAACAGTTATACACTTTTACTAGAGTAATTCGTATTCCGTTACATTTTTGATTTACTGTATGCATATATATGTGTTCTCCTTTAGGCATATGGAATTTTGATAGAGTATTCCCACAATATTCGATGGAAACTAAATAATAACAACGATTTAACTACATTGCTCCATTACTGTGGCTTCTTTGTGGCATCGGCTTTATCACTTGCGTCATTCATAACATATGTTCGCGTATATTTATATATAGAACATGATAAATCATTATTCGATGATTACCCGTTGTAACATATGTAAATCTGTATTTAAGTCTTACCTATCTATCAAAAAAAAAAAAATTCCTCCATATATCTCATTATCAATTGCATAAGTATGTAAATTTGCTGTAATCGTATTGCTTCCTTCATTCTATGACTTAAAATACATTAATATTGATGGGGATCCAAAAAAAATTTAAGTCAGTTTTTTTATTGAAAATCAAACCGAATTTGAATGTATAGATATATTATCAAAAATGTTTGGAGCTGAGAAAAGTTTTCCTCATTAAAATCAGAGCATTGAAATAATTGATTGTACTTTCAAAAGTTAATTTTTAACAGTCCACTTTTGATTTAAAATAACGCCGGCTTCTATTATTTACGTCAAAATTGAACTTTAGTTATAATTCAAATTACATTTATTATTAAAATTTACCCACATGAAAAATTATATTTGACTGAACATAAATTGATAAATAATGATCTATGTGGCCATATATAACAGTAAAATTAAACATATTAATGTATATTTAAGCTTATTAAATCTAATTAAAATATATTTGATTTGATATAACTCCGATGGTATTATTATCATATTTGTTGTAGAGTATCACATAACAATATAAAAATTTTTTTATAAAAAATTATCTTACCAGCTAAATTTGATAAAAAATGTAAAAATTTTCAGTTATTAAATTTTTGAAACCTTTATTTTTGTTTCCAGAATTTCCTAACTACTATATGTACATTTATTTGATTAGGTGAAGTGTCGAGTTCAAATGCCGCAAATACCATACGTTCGCTACATAACATAACATACTACAATAATAATAACAATCAAGTTTGGTGTAGGAGTGGCTTTATGTTCCATTAAATATTCGAGGATTATTGGTACTAAATCCATAAATACCATCCGACGCGTATATTCATCATCCCAAAAAGCAGCTTATTCATTTTTGCACTCAGATGACGTTGCTCATCAGAAACATAATATGAATATGAGTCTATAAAAAAAGCTGACAGTCAGGATACAATTAAGTGCGAATCCGATCGAATTAATCATATTCATCTTTCGATATCGCGTAATATTATATACGAAGGTTTTATATAGTTTATGGCAACGTGACAAGAATTGTGTGTTACAACTTGACCTTTTCTCTTAACTGGGAAGAAAAAATGTGGGGGCGATAGGTGGGTCAAGACTCACGGGAATACTCGATGAGAGATAACAACTTTGTGTTGGATACTTAAAAAATTCAATAGGAACAAAACATATAATACAAGGTCTTGCCGCAGTTCCCAGTTCTGTATTACAATTGATTCTTTAGTCAGCTGTTTTTTATCACTGTTTTCTTGATATTACCGATATAATCCCATTAAGTGTTCATTTACGAGAAAATTTTACATAAATTTATGATTTCCAGAAAAATTTTCTTCAATTTTGATCATTTAAGTAATAAGTAATAAATTAATACTTAATACGTTTATTGACATTTGATTGATGTCAGCAATACGATAAAAACAAATTTTTTATTAATGTTTCAAAGTTCACTATCTTTTATGACGTGCGTTGTTTTTAAAAGTATTGATGATAAAAATAGTGAATTTAATTAGAGATTATTTTTAACTTCCTGTTTTTTCAATTAAGACTCATTAATTTTAATTTGTCGCCATTGATTATAATTTAAAAAATTTTTTTAAATTTTGAGCTTATAATTTTAACTTTTGCTGTTAATTAGTGATACAATAAAATATTGTTCGACAATTTATGTTGAGGTAGAACTTGAACTGACTTTAATTGTCTAAGATTACGATACAATCGTAACATTACTTCGTAATATGCCGTCTCGCTGCGCCTGTTTATATTTCACAGCCTACTGGGTTTATTGAGAACAACTTCTGAATGACTCGCGAAGTGAAAGTTGACAATGACTCGTATCGAGAGGATCGGAATTCCCCAACTCACATTGTATTAAACTGAACTGGTCCAGGTCGGATAAAAAAATCCACTCATTAAAACAAGCTTCGATATTATATGAATAGGCTTTAGATCGCATGTGTTCGTTGTATATCTTGTCACGTCAATTACTCCACGATACGATACCACACACTAAATTTTATTGAATTACAAGGCCTGAGGGAATATAGCGCTGCTAACTCCCACGTAATTACTATATGTAATTTATATCTTTTCTATTGATTTGACTCGTGTTACGATGATTATCGAAATTAATTCTCGATGAGAGAATATATGTACACAGGTTATATTTAGTCGTCAATATTTATTATATTTATATTTTTATTCTCTTATATTGATATTAAAGACTTGATGGGTGTTATTATTACTTTCAATCGATAATTTATTAATATTTAGGATAAGTTAAATCGTTATATTGGCTTATTTTTAATATTCTTATAAGCTGGAAAAATTTTAATGCCTTATTAAAAAATAATAATAATAATTAATAATAATCCTATTTTTTAGAAAATCGGTTTTTAATTTTTCTAAAAAATTTTTGAATTAATTATAAACCCAATTAATAATTTCATCGTACACCATTATTCGGAACAGACTGTCTTGTCGTTGAGTGAGATGTAATTCTAATTGATATGATGTAATTATTAAATCAATGAAAATTAGAATGTAACTTCACTAAAAGCACTAAAATAACTTTGACAAAAGTTGCTCTTAGCTTAGTCTAATCTCAATATTTTTTCAAAGTTTTTCTTGGATTTTCAATGAGTTCACATTTCAACTTTCATTGTTTTAGTAATTACATTACTAACAGAAATTTACATTAATCTCACCCAATAATGAGACGGCCCGTGCAATGTTAATTATGGAATAAAGAAAAAGGCTTGTAATTAATTGAATAATTTCTTAAGAGAATAAATAATAATGATAATAAATCAGCAAGCATTAACTAACAATTTTTTGTTAAATTAGTCAATAGAATTATTGAAAATAATGTGATAAAGAAGATTGATAATTATCACAGTTCATCATTGTGTTTCCCAATTAAAACTTGTCAACAATAATAAGAATACACATTGTTAGTGTAGATATACGATAATTATTTTCACAGTTGACGATTTTCTCAATCACCGATAACAATCCAATGTTATATTATCCGAGTAAATCTATCGCTTTGATTGTAACCAGTTAACGTCACCTTTATATGTCCTTTCGTTTATTTAATTGCCATTTAACAATTTAACACAATCTGATATTTATTTTCAATCTCTGGCTCTTAATTTTTGTAATTTTTTTCTCCACGTTTTGATATCGTTAATTTGTTGGTAAATAAATAAATAAAATTCATTGAGGTTCCTTTGATATCACAGACGTTAAAAAATTTAATCTTAATTTATTCAGATGGACTATTTTAAATTAATGAATAGTAGTTCTTCTCGTTAGTGAGATGTTCTAATATTTCGACATTTTAAATTAATATTGATGCTCTAATAAGCTTGTAAATCAAATAAATTTTTTACATTGATTCAATCGTAGTTTGTATATTTTTGTTGTTCTTTATTTTATTAATAGTTCCATCAACTTTTCATTAACTTGTTACACTTTAAGCTTTCCTCTTAAAACGCTTATTTATCTAGAGTTCTGAAAGGTTTTCGTTATTTATATTACCGAGCAATGACGATCAATAAATTCTATTGAATGAGTTATCTTTAGCTTCCGAAAATTATCAATTTTAATGCAATATTGATTCGTGCAATAATTTATAAACATAAGTATTGAAAACAATATACAAGCTCAATATACGTCTTTTTTGCTTCGCTATAAATATTTTATTTCAAAGAAGACTCTTAAATCGGAGCTGTATACTTTTCTGTTTTTTATTGGACTACTTTGAAAATCCAATATCATTTTTAAATTTAATTATTTTCTTTCTATCTACTTTCAAAATTTTCGTATTTTTTATATATTTATATTTTTAATTTGAAAAAAAATTTAGCTATTAGATTAGCAAATATTACCAAAAATACTTAAAGACTTAGTATATTGAGCATATCGTCGGTATACAATCTTGAATACATAAAGTAGGAAGAATAAGTGAGTGGTAATGAGTAAGAAAGAGAATAATTGTAAACAGAAAGGAATCCACAAACACAGCAGAAAGTTTAAGCGTGGGATTAAACCTAAAATTCAATACATAAACATTGCCTTCATGACAAACTTTTGGCTCAGATTATCGGGAATAATCTACCGTAAATTTATATCTATCTCTCTAACCATAATATAAGTTTATATAGTGTAGTGACAACATTGTATTGCAGTCTCGCATTGCTTTGCATTAGTGTCGGTTCTAAATAAATAATACCCAGTTATTCAGTTAATTTTGTCTACAACTTTTGCCGATCGTTATTATTTTCATAATGAATGAATCAACGTGAGTGTAACTTAACTTGTTAGTTTAATTAAAGTTGATTAACTTTAGTGAATAAGTTATTTATTACGAATAATAATTAATACATTTAGTTACAAATGTTATAAATTGTGAATTGAATTATAAAAAAGACAACTTAGTTATTTTTTTTTTCAAACTGTACTCTTGAAATTGTTATTTTTCGTCAATGACATACAAGCTTTATATTATACATACCAAAAACAATATACACGTGCTCGGTCTTTTTAGGAACGAACCACAATCTCAGATTTTTAATGTAATTTCAAGTCTGTCAGAATCTTTTCGTTTGAATATATTCTGTCACTTGGAAAATCAAATCGCTGTTTTTCTCTGACAGTCTTTATTTAAGAATATACTTTTCGTATAAAAATATAATCTTTAATAATAAATTCAAAAATATTCAACTCGAAATTTTTTTTCCATCAATTTATCATTGCGTTTTGCTCAATATTTTTTCCATAACACCAATATATTAGTATGATTTAATCTAAATTCTCGGTAGCTGACATGTTTACTTCTTATCCCATATAAATTTGAATTTCATATTTTAACAGTCACTCGGCGACGTGATTTAAATTGCAAGTTTGTTGAGGCGCGACATATTCGCTTAAGTATCACCCCAAAGTGTTATCTGTATCTGTATCTGTGCTTGGTTTATTACTCTCAGCAGATATAATATTTTTTGTGGTTCTGGTACTTAACGACCTGTAAATAACCCAATATAGATTTTAGGAATATAGCGAACCTGTTTAGAGCGGAAGCTGATGGTTGTGACTATAATCGATATTTATATTTAAATTTATACACCATTTCAAAAGAAGATTTCACACCGAATAGTTGCTATTAAATTTTATATTTTATTTTATTTGTTATAAACCTGAATGGAGACATGCATACTGAGTATGAAAATCAAAAATAAAAAATTCTCTCACTCGATAATAGATTTAATGGGTCGTTCAAAGATTTGTTTAATCTGCCGTAAAATTATCGTCCAAGTTTTCGTGGCACAATTATGAGACAATAAATTACAGTCTGAAGACAAAGTAAACCAGACAATTGAATCGATAAAAATTAATTGTTTTACTTTTATTATATAACCGCACTTTCAAAACTAAAACATTTTATAAAGAATATAATTTAAAACTTAATTAGTGTGTTAAATTAATGAAAACTTATATAAATTATCGTAAAACTTTTTCATTGAAAATAGCTCCTTTTTATCAATTCAAGTACTCCTATTTTTGAAAGATTGATTGTCTGTTTTTTCTTGTAAAGATTCTTAGCAGACACAGCGTTATTATGTGAAACAGTAATTGATTTTTTAAACTCTCGACAAAAAATTACCTAGTGATTTTTTTTCGATGACTACTCACTTTATTTGCTATCCTCGCCAACTATTTTTAAACGTCTATTGCATTGATTATCAATTTAATTACTACTTAAAATTCGATCTGTCAGTCACGTCAATTAAAAAGATTATATAAATAAATTTTCGGGCCCATGAAAGCTCGGAGATTTTATTTTTATTTTTGTCATATTAAGAGGAAATTTTAGACAGCTTAAAATTAGTTATTTTCATATTATGTGTTTACATAGAAAAAAAAATTTCTTGCGCCAAGAAAACTTCAAGGAAGACAAAAGTTATTTTGAAGCAAGAAGAAATTTTCTTGGCTCAAGAAACTTTGACTCCATTCAAGAATTTTTTTTTCAGTGTATAGATTATACGAAAAACATGTAATTTTAGTATTTTAACATCAAAAAACTTTTTTATCTTCCAGCGATATTATTAAGAAGAGGTCAATTGATCGATTGATTAATTTTGATGCTTTGAATAATATTTTCAATCTAAATTTGGTACACAGAAAGAAAAATTTCTTGACTGGAGAACAAAATTCTTGGCTCAAAAAAATTTTCGGGAGCCTGAAGGAAGACCGAAGTTGTGTTGGCCGAAGTAAAAATTTTTCTTGAAATTTTATTCTTGGTGGAAGTAATTTTTTCTTAATTGAAATTATCATAAATATTTGATACAATAAATTTTTATATTAGATCAAGATTTTTAGATACTTAAGGGAAGCAGCGCCACCTACTTCAGCTAAGAAAAAAATTTTCTCACCTTGAGAAAATTTTTCTCTTGAATATTTGGGAAGAATAAATAATTAGGATAGAATAATAAATAATTAGGAAGAATAATATTTTCTTAGCTCAAGTGAACCTTTTTTTCTGTGTAGATTGAAGACAAATTTTACTATTTTTTGTCCCAACAAAAAGTTTTCATTTTTAAGCACTTTCATTTAAATTAATCAAACAAATAACAAACTCCAAATTAAATAAATAAATTTTTTCCAGGCATGTGGCAATCGACGAGGAATCCCCGAGCTCGTCATCTCACTTGCTGGCAACGCCATTAGAAGTGACAAAGCCGAGTCCTCCCAGTACAGTAGTTTCAACATTACTGTCAGTGAAAGAAAAACTGTCAAGCACCATTGGGTCCCTCGAGAGTAGTTGCTCGCCCCAAAAAATAGCTGTAGAAGACAGCGATAACGATAACGGCGTCAATTTATCTCGGCAAGCCGATGTCCCTGTTGGTCATAAAATCCTCGAGAAACAAGAATATTATCAATTACGAGAAACTTATCGGCAACAATCAAGAAGTTCACTGTCAGCAGAAGCACCCGAAGCAAATTGGGACACGAGAAAGGATAGCGCGGTGTGTCTCGACGACACTGAGTTGGACGAATTGGACGAACTCAAGGAAAGATTGCTCCTCCAAAAAGTCGTTCCCTATGATTCGATAAGGAACTTGTCCTCCGATAGCACAATTACGTCTAACAGTAGATTGCCTCCGTTACCAAACAACCAACGGATTCCCGCAGTTTACGCTTCATCCTGCAAAAACAGTGAAGAGTTGAATCAATTGCAGAAGGATTCATCAGTTATAAATCATCCGACTTTAGCTAAGTATTATCGTCCGAGACGCGAAAGCAGTGGTTACTCCAGTAACCTGAGTACTTTTGATGAAGATCGCAGAAACTCAACTACCATCGAAACACTACAAGGCTTCAGCAGCGCGAAAGATTTCCAGAGAGAAAGGCGAAGATCCTCGTCAGCAAAACGGCTGAATCTCAACAGACTTGCATCCACTAGAGAAAGAGAAGACGAATCTGAAAGAATGCCAACTTCGGAAGTTATTTATCGGAAAGTGTCAACAGCAGGGCTTATTGAGATGCCGAATATTAAGGAGCTTAAGGAAATAGCTGAGGACGTTAAATGTCCGTCTCCTGATAATGATGATGATAATGATATTGTATGTTTGCCGGGATCAAAAAACCAGTTGGATGTCAAGAGTAAAGCTGATGGAAAAGAATCGTTGAGTTATATTGGGATTAAGAAAACGTCAGTTTATGATAAAGAGTATGATAGTCATCTTAAAGGGGATGCTGATGATATGTCGGAGGATGATGAACGAGATTGTATTGATACTTTGAATAGTGTCTCTGAGAGGTCAGATTATAAAAATATCGAGGAGATCCGTGATAGACTTGGACAAACGACCTTGATCAGTTGTGGTGATACTGATGAAAAAATGAGTACAGCAATGCTGAAAGATACGCGTCAAAGCATTGTCGATAAATCTCTCGAGGTTTTATCAAGGACACATGACAGCGGATTAATAAAAAGTAATCTAGAATCATGTTGCAGAGAAAAAGATAAAAAATCTGAGATGGAATTAGAAAAGATAGTTTCTGGGAGAGATAGTTTACAGCCTTTGAAGTCTGATAAAAAGGTGGATGATAAAGGCAGATTTAGATCAATAAGTAAAGTGAGTTCACGATCCCAAAGTTTCAATATCGCTGATGAAAGTCTTCGTAAACCTCTTAAAGGATTGACGTCCTCTCCAAACTCAAGTCCCAAACCTACGAGGCATCGGAGTAGAATAATTCATCAGTACAGTTCGCCTTTGTCCTCGACGATGGAGCTGGAAAGCATTTCGGAGAGGCCTCTGGATGACGTGAGCCCTTCTTCTTGTGCTACGCAGAATCTAACTGTCGTTGTTGACAATCACGATGAAGATGATGGTGATGATGATGATGATGATGATGATGATGGTGGTGGTGGTGGTGGTGATGGTGATGGTCTCATTGCTAAAAGACGCGCCAATCGCATCAAGAAATCGCAGAAACGGAATGAAACTGAAGAGTTAGACACTAAGAAACTGTTCCCGAGGTCTGTTAAAGTCTACCAGCTGCTGTCGACCCAGTCTGAGGACCGCGAGGACGGAGAGCCCAGGCTTATGGATAGAAGAACATCTCTGCAGATAACTCGCCACGATATTGAAGAACAAGCTATTCCTGGGACGACTCTGTGCATCCCAGATGATAAGGTGCTTTTGCACACTGAAAGCGCACCCCTGATAAAGTATCAGCCGGTTCAAGAGACCTCGTGCTTGGAAGCTGGATCGTTCAATGCTGCCAGATTGTCCCCGGTTGGAAAACTAGCTTCCCATCCCAGTGGAGCTAATCAAAGGCTGGGAGATACTGGAGCCGTTGGGATCAGACCTATCTATCCTTATTGCCCTTATTCGCCATACGGTAGCCCGCAGGGATCGCCTAGAATACGCAGACGGCCACTTCGGGAAAGTAGAAGAGTCAGTATTGATAACAAGCAGGGCGCATTCCAGCTTAATCAATACAAGTTGCTGGATAATATTGGACAAGTAAGATTTCTTTGATGTTTTTTATATTAATGGTTTTTTTGAAAAATTTTGTATTTATTCTTTTTTTGATGTAAAATATTAAATTCGATGTAAAAATATTGGAAAATTTTTGCATCAACTTTAATTTGTTGATCAAATTTCAAAATTTACAAATTATTCAAAAATTCATGATCAATGTTTGAATTATGATATGCAATTTTTTTATTTGTTCAGTTTTTCATACTTTTTAGAGAAAAAAATAGTATGATACTCTATAAATTGATCTCTAAAAAATTTTAATAAAAAACAAGACATTTATGCAGTTTTTTGACTTTCAAACTGAAAAATATAATTGAAAAAAATTTTTCTCGCAGCTATTTTTTATTAGTTAACTCATCCTTTACAAAAATAATTGTATCAATATATTAAAAATTTTTTATCGATATATTAGTCAAAATTAAGGAGTTGACTTACAAAAGGGTATCTTTTCATTTTTGATTAATCGAGACAAAAAACTGGTCATCTTAAATAATAAATATTTTTTTTGAACTTTTTTAATTTAGCTATAAAGTGTTATCGGTTTTATGAAGCTACAATTTGATTTTCATTTAGAAATCTTTATAATTCTCGAAGTAATTAATATTTAAAAATTCAAAAAACTGCTTTTTTAAAATATGAAAAGATACCCTTTTGAAAATCAATTCTTCAATTATCTTTTGCTAAAACATTTTTTGAGCTACGATTACGCGCAATCAGCAAAGTCAATTTTGCAAGACAAAATTTCACAATCTTTCTATTTTTTTACTCTTGAAAAACTTTTTAGGAACTATTTAATACAAGGGTCAGTAATCTAAAACTTGTGTATTCAGGATTTTTAACACTCCTACGACAATTCTCAACTAAAATATCCGTCGTTGAATAAAAAATAACTCTAGCCTTCAATTACTTATATACGTCACGAACTTGCAACGAATCGTAAACCGTACAAATCGAAGATAATTTTAATCCCCGATACGGAATGAATTAACTAATCGATTTTTAGTATCGAAAAAGAAGCTTTCAATAAACAATCAACATTTAATCATTCTATTATTTATAAATCATGAAGAATTTATTCTCAGAGTGATTTTTGAAGAGTATTAAATCGACATGTGATGTATTCGATAAAAGTAACACTTTTTCGTAAAACATCCATAACTTATAGCTTATAGCGCTTGTTGAATAAGCGATTCGTAGCAATCTTTTTCATCTTCACAAAAACTATGATAGGGGAGACGAGACACAAGAAATGATTCATGAGCAAGCGATAAAAAAGCGGTAGAATAGCTTGCGGACGAAAATTAATCGTAATTAAATAGCCTTCACTAGCTCCAATCTAAATGAGTTCATGGAGATACGTCCCTTGAGGCACGTGTCTTTATTATTTTTTTTCTCAGAAGAAAGCAAATATTTTCTTGATTTTTTTATTCGTTGACTTGTACGTCTTGGAGGAAGTCTCTTAGGTCATAGCTGTGAATTATGGAATTAGATTCAAGTCGAGATAAAATCATGGAACTTTATGGATATACTGTGATGTGGTTAGTATAGGTGAAGACACCAATATTTCGCTCAAGTAAGGACGATCAGTGTTATGGCAGCAATAGACTGAGGTCACAAAGAATGCATAAAAAGATATTGGATAGAGCTCATACACATAACACGAAGACACTCTGGTTTTATAAGACTTATATTATATAAGCTTATTTTTCTTCCTATTCTTATTCTTCTTTTCCTTCAGTGCTAATACTATTACTATGCTATACTTTATCTTCTAGTATTCTTCATCAGCCTTTGTCACTACTTTAGTTCTTTTTCTTGCTTCTTTCTTTTTTTTTTTTGCTATCGAATTGAGGGTACTTCTATTCGCGTCAAGTTTCACCGGATCTTTTTATCCCACAATACTTATAAGAGTTTTTTTTATTCACCGTTGTATGGATTATTGTAATTTGAATACAGTGTCGATAGAATATAAGAATATGAGAGAAGAAAATTCTAAGGAACAGATTTTATTTTACGGATAAAACTTTTTTTATCGACCAAATGAAATTGTTTTCCATAAATTTTTTTTTATTACTTTAATGCAGGTTCACATTATAAACAATAGCCTCTTTATTTTTAAATTCAAATATTTAATTTATTATTTTACTAACAACTAGATACAATTAAAACTTGAAATAGTTTAGGATTAATTGTGACGTTAATTAAAAGTTAGAAATTCATTAAAATAGAACTACAAAACTAATTATTCAACCATTTAATGCAGTTTTAATTCCTAATTTCATTGCCGTCAAGTAAATGATTATTTAATTATTTTTTTTTTGATTTTTTTTATCCAGAAAATTAATTAAATTATTTATTGATTTCAGGGTTCATTTGGAATAGTTAAATTGGCATACAATGAAGAGGACGAAACTCACTACGCGATGAAAATCTTGAGCAAAAAAAAGTTGATGAAGAAGGCCGGAATTTTTGGGAGAATGGCACCTGGAAGAAAAGGAGTTTCAAACCCTCTTGCCAAAGTTTATCGGGAAATAGCGCTACTTAAAAAGTTGGATCATCCAAATGTGGTGAAGCTGGTTGAGGTACTCGATGACCCGGATGAGGATAACTTGTACTTAGTCTTTGAATTGGTACAAAAAGGCGAAGTACTTGAATTGCCAACAGACAAACCTCTTGACGAAGAAACTGCAAGGATTCATTTTCGAGATGTTGTTTTAGGCGTAGAGTACTGTAAGTTTTCTATTACTGTCTCGGTATTTTTAATTATTATTATGATGGTTTATTTTAGTAGAACCACTGAATTTATACACGAAAAGAAAAAAAATCGAAAAATTACATTATAAATAGTAATAAGCGTCGCTTTGTATAAAAAAATAGAAAAATTGCAGTTCGAAGTAACATTCTTCTAAATTCAAACTTTGAATGTTAATTTTCAGAGCTTTCAATGTAATATTTACATTTTACAATGTAATTCTTACAAAATTTGTAATAATTACAATTTGAAACTGTAATTTTTTCAGTTTCTTATACGGAGCGCTACGTTAGATTATATAATGTAATTTTTTATTTTTTTTCCGTGTGATAAAAAATTTTAATTAAACTGTTAAGGGGACCCGGTGGTCTAGCGGCCTAAAATTTAAGCTATTTTTAAAAATTTTATTTCTATGTGAAGGTAATGACTAATGCTTTCAAATTTTTTTACACTTATTCTAATACTTATCAACTACATAAAAATAAAAATCAAAACCAAAAAAAATTTTTTTTTAAATTAGAAAAATGGCGCTGAAGTCCCCCTCTCAAAAAAAAATGGACCTGACTGGTGGAAGTAGATTGATCTCTCCCTCTAATCTGAAATTAAAAAATATGACTGTATTTTTTTTTTTTTTTTTTCATGGGCAGGTCCATTTTTTTTTTTAAAGGGGGACTTCAGCGCCATTTGTCTAATTTAAAAAAAAATTTTTTTTGGTTTTGATTTTCATTTTTGTGTAGTTGATAAGTATTAGAATAAGTGTAAAAAAATTTGAAAGCATTAGTCATTACCTTCACATAGAAATAAAATTTTTAAAAATTTTATTATTTTTTTTTTGCAAATAAATTTAGTTTTATGATGAGTTTGATCCTTAAATTTATTTTTTAAAATAAATATGATTTTTTAACAATATGTACACTGAATTTCTCTTGAAGGCAATTTTCTTAAATAAATGTATGGAAAAAAAAACAGTTATAGAAATGAAGACAAAAAAGAGAAATAGGGTAAAAGACCCCATTAGTGGCAGGGACCCTATCACTGAAACTTTCTTTGATTTTGGTACTTATTCAATTACAGTCGAGTCTCGTTATGAGTCCTATTAGTTTCTCTCTCATATTAACGCGTCTGGTTAAAAAAAAAGACAACAAGCTGGACTCAACGCGACTCTTAGAACTTCTTTATTAGAAAGAAATTTATTAGACTTTTATTTATTTATTTTTTAGATTAAAAAAATTTTTAATTTTTATTCCAAGTAGAACATTTTTTCATTGAAAGAAAAAATCCCACTAATGGGGTCTTTTACCTTAGTTCATAATGTTTAAAAGAATCTTTTTTGCATCGAATTCAGTAAATTCAGTGTTTGTACTAAAAAAAAAAAAAAAAATATTAAATTTTCATAATTTATAATTAATAATAATAATAATAATAATAATAATTTATTAATTATATTTTTCAGTACACTACCAAAGAATAGTTCATCGAGACATAAAGCCAAGTAATTTATTGGTAGACAGTGACGGCCGCGTGAAGATCGCAGACTTAGGAGTAAGCGCAGAACTACGAGCTCCTGGTGAACTTTTATCTGGATCTGCGGGTACACCAGCGTTCGCTGCGCCGGAAACAACAGTCCCCGGTGCTCAGTATTCTGGAACGGTGAGCATTAGTTTGTCAATAACTTCTATTCGGGTAGATTGATATTTCATTCTTTTTGTCTATTCACACCTTTCAAGAATAATACCGCCGGGTGCTCAAGCTGAGGCTTCTGATATTCGATGAAAGTTTTTCAATGGAATCCCCGTCCATTCTTCGTACCTCCTACCTTTTATCTCTCTTTATTTATCCTTCAATATTTATTTAAATTCTTTTTTTATCAATCTTTAAAAGAGCAAAACATTCAAGTTTTTTTTTTTTTGCATTAATATATTTTATAAACTTTGATTTTAGACGGTTTATATATTTTACATCGTATATTTTTACATTTAAAAAACGACCCTCACATTTCAGCGTTAAAAGCCATTTTTCGATGCAGTTTTGGCGCGCTCAGTTATTCAAATAAATAGACGGATGAAAAATGATTAAGTACTGTATTTTTGAAGGAAATAATTTTTCACAGTATTCACATTAATCAAACTGAATATTCACGGCTCAAAAAAAATTATATGGGGTAACTTTCACGCTTTAAATTCTTTCATTCGCATATATGTACATATATGCAGCCATAATCAATCTCACAAAACACCCACTACTTTTGTTTGTTAGGTCTTTTATCATTTGTACATAACATGAATTCCCTGAATTATTTATAAGCTATAAATCTATTTTTTCACCCAAGAAAATTCTTCATCGTCCTATAATATAATAATAATAAAAAAATAAAGCTCGAGAAAAAAAATATTATGAGCAGCGACCCTTCATTCAAGATTAATTTTCGAGAAATTTACGAATAATTTGTGGAAAATATTTGGCTATCAATTTATCATTATATCACGACTTTATTAGTTATTCCAATATCGTATGACCCAAAAATGTATACCTCTATTAAAAAAAAACATGAGCATATTTTTTCCTTTTTTTAAATAATCAATTTTTATTAAATTAAAATGAGAGAATTATTTATAAGCTCAAAATTACTTCATTTAAATAAATTATAGCTTAAAAAATTAAAAAACACGTTTTAATAACAAACTAAGCTAAAAATTAGAAATTAATTTTTTTTTAATGATTTTTGGTAAGTTTACAATAAAAATAAATAGAGTGAGTAATAAAAAAATTCATTTTATTGTAAGAAACATATGAGCTTCTTGATATCTATTGTAATAAATAATTTATTGGTATATATTTGTAGACTAAAAAAAAATTAATTTGAAAAAATTATTGAATCAAATAAAATTTACTTGAAACGAGAAAAATTTTTCTGTTAAAAAATTTTTTTACATTAATCAAGTTAATTTTTTTCAGTCTATAAATATCTACTAATAAAAAATTTACAATAATAGATAAAAAAAATCACCTCTTTTTCTCATTAAATCAATTAATTTTTCAATAGAAATTAAATTTATTAACCCCGACACTGCATTGTTGAAATAAAGAACTCTTTTTGAGAAAAAGAAAAAAAAAAGTGAAAGTTTAATTTCAATTAAGATTTCTCGTGCATTTAATTCAATTTAAAAAGACACTATAATCCAATTTTACAGCATTCACGCTGATCGATCAATTGAGTCACTTTTATTTATCATTTTTAAATATTACCCGAAATTTTACTGTTGATCATTATAATCTATATTCTTAAGTAGTTTATGTATGTACAAATTAATGTAATTATTCCACTGTTTTCACGTAAAATTTTACAATATTTAAAATAAATTTTAACTATTAAAACACACTACTAATCATTGAATTTACAAATTTAACAATTTATTATTTCAAATTGCATACATCAAAATATAATCAAAGAGATCGATAAAAGATGTGTATAAAAAATTATTAGACTTTTTCTTTATGAAAACAACCAACACTAATTCTTATCCAACAATTTTACACTCGTTCTTACAATTTTTAAGTCTACAATTCTAAAGCGTACCATAAAATTTTAATTCAAGTTAATGATCTAATATTTCTATACACATCATCAAAACTTAAATTTTTAATTACAAAAATCGTACTCTGAAGTATGCAATGAAAAATTATTAATATTCTTTTGAATTAGGTAATTTAGTGTAAGCAGAGTAAAATAAATATTCATCCTCCCTGATAGCAATTTTAATTATTTCTTTATAAATCTTAAGACTGTAGACTAGATTATGGTTAATAAAAAAAACCTATAAAAATTAACTAGTCTTACAGTATCATAAACCACAAATAGATTGCTTGGTTTATAATTCACTCCTACTGCATTGCAGTGATTATAATACTTAAATAAAAATTTTAAATTACCACAAGGAAAATGCCTACTATTAAAATCAATCGTTTTTTCTTAAATAGTTCATGATAAATTAAATAAATTAAATTATAAATTATTTTAAAGTCAGTTATGTTTATAATTTGTACGCGAAAATTATGTTTTGATTAATTCAATGGATAAACCGGTAATATATTAATGATAATGATAAAAATAATGGGTAGTAGAAAAATTCTAAAAAATGTCTAAAAATTATTATTAACTCTACAATACTTAACTTAAAAAAAATGAAATACTTGTTAATAATTATATTAATGAAATTATAAAAGTAAAAAAAATACTTGATTAATTTTTGATATTAAGAAATAAAAATAAATAACTAAAACTCAATTTGTCCGTAGTAAAATAACATTTAAATAAAAAAAATTACCGTTACGTAGTGGCACATTAAATGTTCTAGATGAACAATCGGCAAAGCAACCTACAATGAAGCTGGTCACAGCCAATGGTGCAGTCAGTTTCGTATTTATTACGAACTATAGACAATTGTCTCCTAATATTAAAACATCAATTGTAAAGCCCACTCTACCTTGAACCATTACTCTCATACTTGTTTTAATTAATCTACATTTACATTAAAAAAAAAAAGCTCGAAAAAAATTACTTGTCTCATAAAAAATTTCCTAAAAAATTATTATATCAACTATTAAATATTAATTGTATAAAATAATAATCGACGTACTAGTTATTAATGATGAATGAAAAATTCAACAGCTTCGACGTGATAAATAATAAAATGTAAATTAAAAAAAATTATTGCTTTGAAAGCATATTTAAATTACTTTTTAATTTAATACACTAAGACGGCATTAAATACCTCGTATTTTGAGGTAAAATTTCATTCATATTTACAGCCGGTTGTTGATGAATGCCGTTTTCCTTTAAAGCTTGTTCTTTGTATGCGGAAAAAGTTTGACTCAATTGCTGATCTTTGTGTAAATTTTGTATATGTTGCAAGAAAGAGGCCGGCTCTTGTTTGATAAATGTTCCATCTTTCAATATATAGCTCAAATCATGCTTTAAAGCATCCCCGACTGGATCGATGGTTTCTTTCACTTCAATCGGCACTGCATCTTTTTTACTCTTTCCGCGCCTGATGCCCAAATGTGTTTGTGTGTGCTTATTTAAATGGTCCTTGCGCGAAAATGCTTTCTGGCAAATGTTACACGTGAAATTTTTATCTCCTGAGTGGATCACAAAGTGCCTCGTTAAATGCTCATTTCGTTTAAATGCTTTCTGACAGACCAGACACTTGAATGGTCTTTCGTCCGAGTGACCTCGCATGTGCTGGTCTAAATGTTCTTTTCTTTTTAGCATTGCACCACACTCTTTGCATTGATATTTACGTTCCTAAAATTTTAATAAAAATTAATTAGTTATTGCCATACTTTGAAAAAAAAATATTGTTTTTTTTTTTTTTTTTCAATAAATTCCACTTAAGCATTAAATTAATACTATATCGATGGTCTAATTAGCAATTGGTCTAACTCCTCATTTTTTATAGGGTGATTTTTTAACATTTTAATGTAGCAATAGTCCAATTAGATAAATTGTTTGGATGATCATAACCAAAATATTATACCTCTATTAAATATTAAATGGTTTTTTATCATTTAAGTGATAATAAATTTCGAACTAATTGTATTTTCGTACAAATGGAAGATTCTCTGAAATGGAGTTAAACAATTTGCTAATTAGAACGTCGATATTCAAAGCTTTCATAACAATTTTTATGTGATATTCTGTTATTATGTTTATGATATGTTTCTGATATTATGTTTATTCGAAATTAGACCAACACTTGAGCTAGTTATCGTATGTGCTAATAAATAAAGTACAGAAATTTCGTACTGAACATTTGAATTTTTTGCAAATATTCCTTTAAACGGTTATTTTGTCTGCGGTTATTTAAGCGTGATACCAAATCAATGATGATGAAAATTATTAATAAAAAGCTTACCTGAAGATGAATTTGAATATGTTGATCAATATCCAATTTTTCTTGAAAAAACATATTACATTCAGGACAACAGTAAAGAAGAGAACCGTCAATAGATGTTGCAATTTTAATTTCACCGAGTTTAGCACGAAATTTAGTTTTACGTTCAGTTTTAGGTGAATCTGTTTGAATTTGCTGTTCAACTTTCATAGGCGGTTGTACCGCTGTTGCAGTACTACTACTACTACTGCTGGTCATTGGATCAGTCTCAATATGAATATTCAAGTCGGTTGGATTAATACTTCCCGCCAGTTGATCTAAATTTAAATATGGATTTCCATTCTGTAAATTGTTACGAAAACCTGGAACACACGGGATATTGAGAATATTGTTTTGCGGTTGTTCACTTCTTTCTTCCTCAATATCATTTGATTTGTCTTTTTTCATAGGCTCGGACTGTATTTTAATTAATTGCTGCAGTGTAGCCAGTGGTAGTTTACCAGCTTGTAATTTTTGAAAATACTCTGCCATAGCTGCATTTTGCAGCTGTTGCATACTGTGCGGTTGGTCATTATTACTGATATTGGCGTTGCTTGCATCACCATTCACATCTTCTTGTTTAACATTTACTGTGGTATCAGGTTGCGATGTTGTGGGCAAATACATATTTGGTAATAATCTCACCGGTAAACTGTTCGACAACGTACCACCAACACTAAGCAGTGAATTATTTTGACTATAATTCGGAATGTTTATTGTTTGGAGAGCTTGCTTTTCGCACAACTGCATCAGAGCGTTTGAGTTTGACCATAATAATGACCCTGGATATTTATTGGCATGGTTTGTCTGTAAAATATTTTTATTTTAATATTATTCAATATCTAAATTTTAAGAATTATAAACAAATAAATACATAAATATAAAAAATAATTTATAAGTAAATTAAAAATTATACTTTAAAACTATAATAAATAATTTTATTGAAAAAAGAAAAAATTATTTTAGTTACCTACTGATTCAAAAAATAAATTTTCAATATATAAATTATAACAAATAATTACCAAAATATTTTGTTTTCCTGAATCACTCGATGTCGTAGTTGTGTAAACAGAACTCTGAACACCAAGTAACTGAGCCGAAGTCGTTGTAAAATTAGAACTTGATATAAAATTCGCTCGTGATGTTATTTCCGAAAACTGTGGTAATCCTTGAATACCACTTTGCTCCGAAAAATTCATTTTAAATAATTTATAAAAACAAATTATTTTTTTTCTATAAAATTAGTGGTCGTGTTAACCTTAAAAATGTCCGTCTCCGTGTTGTTTTATTTATTTACCTCACAGCACTGTGATATGCGTGATATTTGTTATTAATTTCATCTTGATTAAGAACTTTTAAGAATTGAACGTACACCGGCTGAATATATAATAATTAATTATCATGATTTTAAAAAATTACTATTTGTTTAATATTTCAGAGTATTATATCACAGAGCATGTATAGGTCTATAATTGCTTGTACTTGTATTTATTCTACAATGCAGATCGCGTCTATGCAATATGGCTACAACCACAATATGAATTATTTTTCAATAACCATGTCGGAAGTGCAGAGGTTAGCCAGCCAACCAGCAATCAATCAATCACCAATCACGTTTTAGATACAAGAGAAATTTTTATTGCTATTAAAAATTATTTATCAATTGACAAGTTTTAAAAAATTTTTATTTTTAATAATTATTATTCACTTTCTTTTTATTTTTATATTTATATTATAAATTTAAAGTATTTTTTTATTTTTAAATAATAATTGTTTATTATGAATTGTGGAACTACCTTTACATGACAGTTACTCTTACCAATCAAAGATGGCGTGTAAAGGTAATACTAAGACGGACATAATCAAAAATAAATGAGACAAAATGTAAAATGTATCTCATAAATTTAAAAAATAGAAACTAAAAATATCCGCAATTTAAATTATTCTTTTTTTTCTATATATGTTATAATATATAACAAACAAATAAATAAAATTAAAAATTTGTACTTGTAAAAAATTATTCAACAAGTTACAGAACTGTCATCAACTTCAAAACTAAACTCTGGTTATAAGCGCTTTGAGTTTTTTTTTTTTTTTAATTATTAAAACAGAAATGCTCAAAAAATATTTTTGAAATTTTACAATTATTAACAATAAAATAAAAAATATTTATGTATGTAATGCATGCACAAACCTTGACGAGAAAAAAATTCGTAGAAAATTTTATCGTACAGCTAGAGAAGATGAAAAAAAAATACTCCATTTGTTGCCGCCAATTGTTGAAGCAAAACATTTGCATTTTTTAAACGTTTACTAATTGTCACTTGACACTTGATTGATACAATTTATCATTTCAATTAAATTATTTTAAACAATAAACTTAACACATATATATAACTTTGACCGAATAAAAACGTTAATGAACCGGAATTTGGACTAATTTACTGAAAATTGTGTCAAAAATTTATAAAATGTCTTTTTAATTAATAGAAATCATTATTCATTATTAGTTTAACATTTTATTCGAATGTATAACGAAGAATGCCGAGTAAGATAGCCGCGACGTTACCCGTACCTTGTATTGCGTCTTTCTCTGTTGAATGCTGAACCAATACTGAATACTGCCTACTGCGCTCGAGTTGGTAAGATGGCGGACTACTTTTCCCGCGGATTTAAAAATGGCGCCAATATTTAAATTATTGAAAATTAATTTTTCATTTTCACTAATTACTTATTTTTATCCCAGAATTGTTTTTATAAAATGACAAAATTAAATTTTATAAACTTTCAAATTTTATATTTATTTTTTACATATATATGACAGTATTTTTTTTTTAAATCAAACATTAATCAGATATTTCTTACTCAGTAATAGAGACGTTATAATAAATTAAAATTTTAGACTAAATTACCTAAAATTTAATGACTTATTAAATAATAGTTTTATCAATATTGATGTAAATGCATCACACGTTTAATTTTTTTTTTCTGCAAATATTTTGTATTATTTTATATAAAATTTATCAAGTAGACTGTTAAATATATTTATTTTCAATTCATTTCAATAAGTGTATAATTTTATAATTATAATAAAGAGTTATATACTAGAGACAGTAATTGTAAATATTTTGTTTTACGATTCTAAATTTAGTTCAACATTTTTTACAGATCACTCGTAAATATGTTAAAAATAAAATATTTTTAAAATTACAGGTGTTTTTATTTTTTGAGTATATTCATAATGATCCTGAGATGATTCTTTACTTGGAAAAAAAATAATATTCCATTAAAAAAGTTATTTATGATTATAAAGTATTTATTATTTGGAAGTGTGACTATCGTAGAAAAAAACAATAACACAAAAGCAATTTGATTTAAAAATAATCTAAGTAGATAATAATTATGGCAACAAGCTTATAAATTATAACTCTTTTAAGCACAAAAACAAACATTTTACTGATCAAATTATTTGATTGAATTTTATACAAGAGTTTTTAACAAATGCTTTCAAGAAATAAAAAATATAAATAAACGTAATAAAAATTTTAATATTCAAAATAGAATAAATAATCATTAGAATATCCGAAACTCATCAATACTAAGTGCAAATTTTAAAATGCCATAAAGAGTTATTGACTTATAGTTTAATATTAAAAAAGAAGCAAAACTAAATCTAACACATCAATTTGTACTTTTTGAATAAATATTATTTCGAAAGAAAAGTGTCTTTTATATCACTTTGTTAATAAAATCTCTACGTAACTTCATCATTACATTCATGAGCATCATCGTCATTATTTTTAATGCCAACGCTACCATCGATTTCGTCATCAATATCTTTACAACCAATCTCCTTGGCACTTGTTTCTTCATTACTGCTTTTGCTTTCATCCCCCTCAACTTCTTCAACGATATCTTGTTCCTGATCCAAAAAGTCTGTCGGTACAAATTCCATGTTTTCGTCGCCGTCATTGAGATCCGATGGTCCAGACAGTGAACAAAATTCAATATCACCATCAGTATTTTCTATTTGTTCATCTCCTCCAGGATCATCTTCATGCATGCTCATTAAATGCTCATAATTTGTCGCTGAACTGTCATCATTATTATCGGAGAACATTTCTGTTGGACTTAGAGGAATATCAGGTGGTTCTAGTTTAACTTTTGGTAGTGATGAGGTAGGTGTTGTCATTTTTTGCAGACGGATTTTAGTGAATGGTCTGATTGTATCTTTAGAGTCTGGATGTTGACGTTTTGGCACGCGTTTCGGACTAGTTGATGTGGGTGCTGATTTTGAGGTTTTAGATTCTTTGGTTTCGGGTGTAGGCTTTGATGCCTGTGTTGGCGTAGATTGTGTTTTCTTGGACTGAGGTAATAGATTTGGTGGTTTTTTATTCTAAAACCAAAAAAAAATACCATCAATAATAAATTTATTAATTAGCTTAAAACAAGCGAGACCATTTTTTTCTCGCTTTGCTCTCACGGAGATCAACGAAACTATCTCTGTCTCTTCACGAAACGAATGAAATTTTTGAAAAAAACACTTTGTGGTAAAATAGTTTATTAAATTATCTATTATCTCTAAAAACCTTTTTTTCAAAATTTCCATTCGTTTCGCTAAACCGATTGAAACTGCAATCACTGGTCTCGCCTGTTAATTAAATAGCTTAATAATTGTGATTATTTTTTTTATTTTTTATGAAAAAAATAAAATACCTGAGATGGACAAGGCCCAGCCAGTCCTTTAACTTGCAGAGCTTCTGCAGCATTAAGTAATTGAGGAAGCTTGTCATGAGCGACATTAACTTCTCCTCGATACATAAATTTAACAAGGGCTTCAACTTCCCAAAACTTTAGATCTTTCATCAATATAATCGGATGCTGGCATGGATTTTCACGTAACAAAGCAGCAAGATAATCGCTGCACGAAGATAATATCATTTTATGGCACTTAAGAGATCGCCCTTCGCAGGCAAGAGTTACATCGACAAATTCTTCGGAGTCTAAAAGTGATGGGAAACTATTTTGCATATTACTGTGGTAACTATTCCACCTCAGACAAACCTAAATAAAATAACGAAAATATTTTTTATATTAGTTTACAAACCAAGCCATTGATTTAACTTATTCCTTACCTCTGTAGGTTGTTGAGGAAAAGTAGTATTATGAGGTACTTTAACAGTTGGCTGTGATTTTGGTTGCGTTTTACCAGAACCCGATGATGATATCGGTTGTTTAACTTTCAGAGGAAGTGTCTTAAAAACAAGAGCCTTTTGGTTTTGCTGTTGTTGCGATTCATAATTTGTCGCCGATGTATTTTTCGCTTGTTGACGAATCACAGACTGTGGTGGTAATCTCATTGGCTTTTGCTCTGTCAAGTATCCTTGAGTATGAGATTGTAACACTAAAAATTATAAAATTGATACTAAGTTGTTATTCGATTATATAAACTGCGATTAGTTTGAGTATAAATATATGATATATTAAATAAGTTTACCGTGATATCGTCGGCCTATAAGCCTGCCACCATGATGAACCCTAAGATGCCGATGAAGATTAGTGGTCCCGCATTGACGAGGATTAGCACCACCTCGTACAACAACAGATCCACAAATACGGCATTGAGCCCGAAGTGGATCTTCGACACATAAATCAAAGTGCGCCCAAACAGCACTTGGATTAGCCATTGCTCTAAGACTGCGAGCGTGAGAACGTACTCTGGTCGCTGGTTGCTGATGAAATGCAGTAGTCGGTAATTTTATTTCATTCAAATAAGAGTCATCATCACCGTCAATATAGTCATCATCTTCTTCCTCATCGTCAACTTCATATTTCATAGAATTCTCCAATTTATCTTGCAACAGACGTTTTGACAATTGATCACTCAAACTGTGATAACGCGACCCAAGTTTATTAGGAGTCGTTCCACTTACAAATACTCCACCACTAGATGCCATTCCAATTATTTACTCGCCAAACTGTTATACTGAATACCAAGCTCCAGTTTTTATAATTTTTTTTAACCGGCTGCTCCTCAGCTTCCTCTTCTATTCTGGATTCTATTATTCCGCCTCGATGCCTGATTCCTAGAGATTAAAATTTTTTTATTTTATTTACTGACCAAAAACATTTCCTCGATACTAAGGTCAATTGACCTGAAAATAAATAGTATCAAAAAGGTTTAGTAAAAACCGGTCGTCCACTGTTTTTGTCAACAACTCTATGTACCTAGGAGTATTTATGTACATTTTAAATCAACTTTCCAAACAACAAATATTATCGATAAATTTAATAAAATTAACTATTAAAAATAACAAAACAAGATAAAAATTTGTAGAGGGAGTAAATGCGCGCAGCCGCACTCATTTTATTAGTTTACTTTACCCAAATATTCATTTCGTATTTCGTCTACTATATATATCCTATTATTATCAACACCGTGAGCTACTCTTCGATTCAAGTGTTCGAATTCTCGATGATGTATGTCACAACACTGATTTTAGAGAATCTATTTAAATTTATTTAAAATCCCAATCAGCTAGCACTGATCAACTCAACAAAATGCTTTATATAAATAAAAATAATTTCTTCTAAATCATTAATTGTAAAAACATTTTTTTTTTTTTTCAATTTTAGCAGCAATATTTATCAATATTAAATTGTAATCTGTGAAATAAAAAAAATGCATAGAATTAAATAATGAAATCACATTAATACTGAGCGTCATAAGTATGCACAGTGGTATTATACATAATATGTATCTCACACTCGATCATCGTATGTTATATATATATCGACCGACTAAACACGATATGAGTTACTAACACTAGCAAATAGTCATTCAAATTATTTTTAAGTTTAAAATAATATATAAATAATAATAATAATAATGAGTACTAACAATAACAGTAAATATAAACAAAAACAATGAAGCGTTACAAATTATCCAACTAATATTTTTTAAAATTAAATTATATTAAATAGATATTTTTTTGAGGGGAGAATTTACAAAGCCTATTCGCAAGATAAATGATTGACCGGTTCGGCAAATGGCCGATCGACTACGTCGTGACAATATACAATCTAATCACTATATAAATTTAAATTACTGAGAAACACGTGGACAACCGTAGGTTATAACTAACTTACTCTTTAAAAATAATAGAACAATTGTTGATAATCATGGATCCTTGAACAATCACATCACGGTTAATTTATTTCTTCCCAGAAATAAAAGATCTTGATCTTAATGATGGTGAAAATCTTCCTGATGATTAAAATTTAATACAATTTTAAATAAATAATCCAATTGCAATTGTTTAAGTTGAATTATTGGATGTTGTTGATCCAAGTTAATATGCACACTGCCCCTCGGCAAACTAACGATTCCCTCAGATTCCCCCAATACAAGCCGTACCCGGGAATGACTAAAATCGAAATCGGTGTTTAGTGCAAAGCATGTCTGAGCGCATGTGCGACCGCCGGTTGCTCTCTTCACACCACCCTCGTTGCCCTCTACTTGTTTTGTCGTGCCGCATTATCCTCGTCCCTTATATTAGAGCCACATGTATTGTAGGTGTACTTATACTTCATGAGTATGAGTGTAAAGTCTATATATGTGTGTCTCTGTTCTCTCTCTTCTTTCGTCTTCAATGATTCTACTATTCTACCCTTCTCTCTTCTTATTTCTTAGATTGTTATTGTTCTATTGGGCTATGTACTAACCATTTTCGTTACGTTCGCTTTTCTCTCTGTTATTATTGTATGCAAAACATTTTTTAATATTTTTTTTAACTTGCTCTTCTTTGGTCATCATTATCATAATGAAGATGAAAAAACCTGAAAAATATTATGAAAATGAAGTTAGCCGACGTTTCAAAATTTTTTATTGAAAAAATTTCAATTAAACAATTAAAAAAAAAATTTCATATGCAAAAAACTTGAAAAACTATAAGTGCAATTTTTTAGAAATATCTTTTTAGTTGTAATTTAATTAATTAAAAAAATCAAAAATTTTTAGACGTCTGCTAACTTCAGTGTCATATAAAATATTTTTATTCATATGTGTTCAATTAATGTTTGTTTTTTTTTTAACTTTAAAGAAAAGTAAACAAAAAAGTTACCCACTTACCAAGTACATATTATTTTTATTAATATTATAGATGTCAAAGTTTATGATTATATTTATAAATAATCTTTGCTAATTTTATGTTCAATCATTATAAATCAGAAAATATTAAAACATCGAGGTTAGTTTTTTTTTATTAATATTTACAAATTACACTTTTTATTTACTAAGATTTGTTTATAATTTTTAGGAATCTGGCACGTGGATCAATCAAGAATAGCAGAGAAAAAAATTTTTGATAAATATTAATAAAATTTTCTCGCTATAAATATCAGAAAATATTGATACGAAAGTTATAGCCGAAGTTTTTAATTTTTTGATTTTTTTTTTAATAATTAAATTAGAACAAAAAAATATTTTTTAAAAATTGTACTTACAGTTTTTCAATAAAAAAAAATTTTTAAATGTCGGCAAACTTAATTTTCATCAGAAAATATTAATCTGAAGTTAGCTGATGTAATTTTTAACCCGCCTTTTGTTAATTTAATAAACTTGAATTAAAAAAAAAAATCTAGTAAAAATAAACACTTGAATATACGCACAATAATAAAAAAATTCGAGATTCGAGATTTATTCGATTCTCACAAGATAAGAAATCTTATCTTGATACATTTTGATAGTTACATAAAAATCAAGTGTTAAACTAAAATTTTTAAATCAAATTAAAAAAAAATAACTATTGGAGTTAAAATAATAAATTTTAATATTAATACTATGAACATTGTGATAATGGATTGTGATATCGATTGATCGAACATGGAACCGATGTATAAAAAATTACACATACATATCGGTGTATTATAGATGTGCACATACGTAAAGAGTAAGTTAAAGTATTGGACAAGTTGGAATCATTGAAATGGCAGGCAGAAGCAGTGATTCTCATATTGTCACTTGAATATATATTATATATTTAATACATAGTTGTATACACCTATATACATATTGCATGGTTACTGCTGATGTATACGCACTGTAGATACTGGTAATAATATTAATTTATTTTATTTATTTATCAGCTGTTGAATAAACAAAAATAAATATCACAAGTTTTTTAATAAAATAATTTCTTACAATTAAAATAAATAAGGGAGTAAAATAAAATGTTTTTAACAATAAAAACCACTGCTCACTGTTACTAGTGAAATGAATAACTTAGTGTACATGTGTGTATAAATAAAAAAATAATACTACGACTTGTAAAGTATGATTCGACTCAACTTCACTAGGTACATGTATTATATAGTCTATAGAGACTGGTGATGACGCGATTGGTGACGATGGTGTGTTGTGTTTAACTACACATACATTCATATATTATTACTGTACATATATGTATACCTTCTATACATCTCACTGATGATCTACTCTGAGCTGTCTCTGCACTGCAATGGTGGCGATGCTGCTGCTCCGCTGTTACTGTGCTCACTATGCTCCACCACTGTTAATGTTCACGACTATTTAACACCGTATGTAATATCTGGTGGCTGCTGCTAGCTGCTACTAGTGATATTCTGTGTTGATGCTTGTGTTGTGCTGCTGTGATGTGCATTTATCATTGTAATCGTTAAATTACAGCCCTTGATTTGATAATCATGATTGGTGAAAATTTTAATCTAACTAAAAACAATAATAATCATCACCAGATACAACGAATTATTATTATTAATTATTAATTTTCGGAGTCACTTTACGTATGGACATTAACATTCCAGACAAGTGTTGTTATAGATTTTATTTATCAAGTACAAGTACTGAGGCTGGTACTAGTTCTGGTGAAAGACAATTGTGTCGATGAATTAATTATTGAGTCAACAAACCAAATGCTACAGATATATATTTCTAAAAAATATAAATGTTGCTTGATAAATAATAAGATATTTGTTATTATAATTATTATTATTAATAATTAATTATATTATAGATATATATTCTATAAATTTTTAATTATATCTGTAGATTATTGCTTTGTGTGTAAGACAAAAATATAAATGTATGTGAGTACATGTATATTACATATATATAATATATGTTAAAATGATTGTTATCATCAAGGATAATATTAAATTCAGATAATCCTCGTGGAGAAATTAGCCAAAAATAATTTTCAATTTTTATAAAATTATTTTAAATAATTGTTAATTAAATAAGTTATTGTGAGAAAAGTGTTATTAGATTTAATGATAAAAGTGGTGTGATAATGATTAGATGGAGAGTATATTTTCTTTGTCTTGATTAAAGTTTAAAAATACTAACATATATTGATTTGTTGATATTGAAAAGAAGGCACGTGAAAGAAAGTTAAATATATATATATATATATATATATATATATTTATACTTATACATAAAATATAATAATAAAAAAAAAATTGTTGGGTGAATTTAGTATAAAAGTAATGTTACTACTTCATAGCAATGGTATTAAGGATAAAATTATCACGAGTTGTAGTACTAATGAATCTGTGGATAGTACGTATATTAAATTGTTGTGATTGTTGAGTTTTTTTAATAAATGTTAAATTAGTGATCATACACACCCGGTGATATGTTTTCAACACCGGCATCTGTTGCTAGTGAGTCGTCAGGCTATGACTTTGAGAAAGAGGAAAATGCTGCTAAGTGGAAAGGAGTATTTGTCAATTCTCTTAGAAAGGTTTGTTGATACTGATTATATTTTAATTGATAACATTTTTAATATAATTAATTTTTTATCTGTTTAGGTTTTGGAGCAAGTACATCCGAGTTTGGAGGCTAGACAAGATGCACTGGATTACGTAGAGAGTTTGATCCTCAGGATGCTGGGAATGTTGTGCGGTCATCCACCTCCTCATACACCTCAGGATATTGAAGAGAGAGTTAGAAAAACTTTTCCCACTCCAATTGACAGATGGGCACTTCGTGATGCACGAGATGCATTAGAAAAAGGGAAAAAAAAATCGCCTTTAGTCTTGCCTGTTGATAAAATCCATCAATTGTTACAAAAGGTATTTCACCTTACTTTTATTTCCTCGTTATTTACTACTGTTATTGTTATTGTTACTCTATTATTTTTTTTGTTTTTAGGAAGTGTTGCAGCACAAAATCGATTCTCAAGTTAGTCTCTTTGTGGTTGGAGTACTCGAGTATATTTCAGCTGATATATTAAAGGCAAATATTCAATACATTAATTATTACCTGGATATTAGTATGAGTTAATTATTAAAATTTTATTTTCTATTTAATTTTAGTTAGCTGGAAATTATGTTAAAAATATACATCACGTTGAAATATCATGCGAGGACATAAGAGTGGCGATGTACGCAGATATGGTAATTGACAATTTTATTACTAGTCTATAAATTATCAATTTTTAACGCTTGGATTACATTTACGTGCTACATTTTTTATGGTGACATAACTAAATATTCAAGACTGAGTATTTATTATCATAATATTTGTGAAATATAATATTTAAACTAGTATGACTAAAAAAAAAAAAAAAAAATATTTACAAAATTACAAAATAAATAGTTCAAAATTTTTTTACGATATTAAATTACTATTATTAAATTTTTCATAAAAAAAAAAGTTTTAAATTTTATGATTTGTTTATTTCTTATTATTTGTCTTGGATATTTAGTCAAGCAAGTCATTTTTATAATTATGCTGTATTCTGTTCAAAGATAATATCACAATTTAAAATTACTTAATAAAAACATTGATGAGAATTATTATTGGACAGATTACATAAAAATGAAATACTTATTAGCATTTATAGCTTTTTAACATGATATTTAATAAAATTATTAAATTACTATCTCACCTTGAGATAACATAAAATAATAATTGAATTTTTCTAAAAATGAAAAGAATAAAAAAAAAATATTAAATAAATGAAACAAACATTTGTTGAATTGGTTTCGTTAGATTAGTCACATGTTAATTGTGGCTGCATATTTTCTCTGCTTGATTACATGCTTTCCACTAACATTTAACCAACACCAACCATGTTCGTTCGTCGTTCGTGCACTTACAGGTGGTATGTACTCACGAACGTTTAGAAGTCATTTTAAATTTTATAAAATAATATCGTCATTAATTCTATATAGAATTTAATTATAACTTCAATCATCTATACTAATTATATCATAATTCTTGATCATCATATTTTTTTTATTTAAATTATTTCAAATGTCTCATAACTCATTGCTTATCACAGCTATTAAATTTGCCAAGTTAAAAAACAACATTAACATCTTTCATTATATCATAAAAATCATAGCTCATAGCATTTAATTTGCTAAATTAAGAATCAATACAATTGTGATTAAATTATCAGTGTTGTTTGTATAATTGTTAAATGTGTAATTAATTTTAAAATTGATTTATACATATATTTTTTATGACTAAACAGGTGTTGATGGATATGTTCTATCAAGATGACTGTACGGAAGGCCTACAAAGCAGTCTAGGTGCTGTGGTTTCTCAAACTTATGAAGAATCCGTTCGAGATCTCATTCACGATGAACGACATTATTTAAGAGATTTACATATGATTATTAAGGTGACTTTTATTAAATTTATTTATATAAACGCCAATCGGTTTTGTACATGATTATAATACAAAAAAAAATTTTTTGAGAGAATTTAATATAAACAGAATTATAAAAAAAACTAGACTAATCTACAAAGAAGAAACAATCGCAGAATTTAAGAATTACAAGATTCCTTCTTTTATATTAGCTAAGAATGTTTTATAGGAACCATCGAAAAAATTTATGTCAGTGTGATATCTATTGAGAGCTGATATTCTTAGTTTTGGACTATTGATTACATAATTTTTATTTGACTTCGTTGTTTTCAGTATAAAATTATGCCTGAGGTTGAGATTTTTTTCGATGAACTCGAAGCAGTTTAAGGGGTTAGGTGGGTTTCAGAGGTTCAAAAAAGGGTATTTTTACTAAATTCATTGGCTTGTTCTTCATATCCATAATTAATCAATAAAATAACAATTCACAGTTTGATGGAAATCTTTTTTCCGATGTTTATTTTACCTGAGAGTAGAGTATTGTGGTGTTGACAAAGTTTTAATTAATAATTGATATTTAGTATTTGTTTTATTATTTATTAACTGAATATTTATTAATTAGAACATGGATAAATTAATTTGGATATTATGGGAATAAATTCAGGTTGTTAGCCTGCCTTGATTTTTATAACATGATTTTAACAATTGATGTTTAATAATTGAGCACCTGAGGAATTCGGGAAACCGACGAAACGTTGTGGTATTTTTACTATTTTTTTTTTAGTATATACAATCATATATTTTATTTGAACAATTCAGCATATCAAAGTTACATATTTAAACAGTATTTTGTGAAATTTTTATTTAAAAATTCCGAAAACTCAGCCGTTGGCACTTCATCTCTCTTGACGTCTCAAAAAAAATGCTCTTGCCATGGACAGTATAATTCATTATTGGTTCATCTGAAATCAAAGAACCAAACATATTTCGTTAGTACATAGATAAATCTCGTTATTGAACGAAGGATTTTTTTTACAACTAATTTTTCCGAGTAAATACATGGCGAAAATTTGACCAAAAAATGTGTTTTTTTGTTCGGTCAAAAATTCAAATTTTAATTTTTTTTTCTCCTTCGTCCTATAACGAGATTTATCTATAATACCCTTTTTTTTTTTGAATATTTTACCCTTGATAAATATTTTTTCGATGAACTCGAAGCAGTTTAACAAATCCGGGGAAAAAAAACAATTTTTTTTTTTTAAATGAGAACAATTAAAAAAAAAATTTTTTGCTATTTATTTACAGGTATTTCGAGAAGAAATCGCAAAGCTTGCACCGGATAAAGGTGAACTAGAAAAACTCTTCAGTAACATTATGGACATTTACGAGGTAACAGTGACACTATTAGGAAGCCTCGAGGATATAATGGAAATTACGGAAGAAAAACAAACGCCTACAGTAGGGTCATGTTTTGAAGAGCTTGCTGAAGCTGAAGAGTTTGACGTCTATATAAAGTACGTATATATATATATATTTTTATTCAATAAATTTATATTTATTATTATTGACTGCCCTTGTAACTTTTATATAATAATTGAAAATGGATATTTGTTGTTTTAGATATGCTGAAGCTATGAATAGTCCAGATAGTCGTGAAGTTTTAACGAGGTTATTGTCAAGGCCTGAAGCTAATGCAGCATTGAGAGCTGCTGGTCATGGTTTTAAAGAAGCTGTTAAATATTATTTGCCAAAATTATTAATGCAACCAGTATGGCATTGTTTTTTATATTTTGACTATATTAAGGTAATTAATTAATATCGCAAATATTAAATTTAATTTTTTATTAAAATAATATATTATTATTAAGACATTAAAAAATTAAATTTTAATTAACTACTTGTTGATTTAGGTATTACAAAAACGCACACCAAGTACAGAAGACAGTGAGACCCTGGAGCAAGTTCAAGGTCTCTTGAGGCCACTTCAGATGAAGCTCTTGCAGTCAGTAGCAAGTCTTCCAAAAAAAGACACCGGTTTACGAATGCAGAGTCGGGCAAGACGGCACGCTGCGTTAGAAAAAACAAGTGAGCTCCAAAAAACTGTTGATGGTTGGGACCAACGTGACATTGGCCAGTGTTGTAATGAATTTATCCGTGAGGACATGTTACGTAAAGTTGCTAGTAATGGACGTAGATTAACTGAAAGGAGGGCATTGTTATTTGATGGTTTGTTAGTTTTATGTAAACCCAGTGGTGGTAAACGTGTTAGTGTTACTGTTGCGGCTGTTGGAGTTGGTGGTGGGCATCCCAATCATCAGGGTGAACTTCGTTTGAAAGAGCGGTTTTTTATTAGAAAAGTTGACATTATTGATCGAGAAGACACTGAGGGTGAGTATAATTTTTTTTTTTTTTTTTTTCAAATATAGACATACGGAATTTTATAAATTGATTTCTATGCACTTGAATTTGAATAGAATTTAAAAATGCATTCGAAATTGCACCAAGGGATCACCCGAATGTTATTCTTGTTGCTAAATCTGTGGAGGACAAAAACAGCTGGATGGCTGATCTTGTTATGTTAAATACTAAAAGTATGTTGGAGAGGACGTTAGATAGTATTTTATTAGATGAAGAAAGGAAGCATCCACTGAGGCTGCCACCACCGCATTTGTATATATTTGCGGAACAAGACTGTCCAGAAAATATAGTATTGGAGGCTAGAGAAAACGGCGGTGTACCATTAATCAAAGGTGCTACGCTTAATAAGCTTGTAGAACGGCTTACGTATCATATTTACGCTGATCCAGCATTCGTACGAACATTCCTTACTACATATAGGTAAAGATTATTATCATTTTGTTTTATTAAGTAATGACTTTTGTTAAATTGCACTGTACTTTCTTAACTATTAACGTTTTTAAAGATATAAACTCATCCCGATGTTATACTCATCAAGAGCTTTCATTTGAGTACCCACATGCATTTTTGATATATTTTTCATATATACATATATATGATATATATAAATATATAAAATATATGAAAAATTGATGTGAGTATTCAAATGAAAGGTCTCGATGAGTGTAATGTCAGGATGAGCTTATATCTTTAAAAATGTCAATAATTTACAAGATTTCTGATAAATTGCAATGTACTTTCTTAAATATTGACGTTTTTAAAGATATAAGCTCATCCCGATGCTACACTCATTAAGAGCTTTCATTTGAGTACCCACATGCATTTTCATATATTTTTCATATATACATATATATAATATATATAAATATATGAAAAATTGATGTGGGTACTCAAATGAAAGGTCTCGATGAGTGTAACATCAAGATGAGCTTATTTCTTTAAAAATGTCAATAGTTCACGAGATACAATGTTATTTCTTAATTATGTATCTGGAGATAGAGAATTTTCAAACGCAGCCTAAATACTGATCATAATAAATTGACTATCGGTTAGAATGATATGAAACCTTGAAAAAGCACAAATTCAAATCAAGACCTTTGCAATGACACTAAACTTCACTAAAAAAAACCGATTTTATGATGCTACACTCATTAAGAGCTTTTCATTTGAGTACCCACATGCATTTTCATATATTTTTCATATATACATATATATAATATATATAAATATATGAAAAATTGATGTGGGTACTCAAATGAAAGGTCTCGATGAGTGTAACATCAAGATGAGCTTATTTCTTTAAAAATGTCAATAGTTCACGAGATACAATGTTATTTCTTAATTATGTATCTGGAGATAGAGAATTTTCAAACGCAGCCTAAATACTGATCATAATAAATTGACTATCGGTTAGAATGATATGAAACCTTGAAAAAGCACAAATTCAAATCAAGACCTTTGCAATGACACTAAATTTCACTAAAAAAAAAAACCGATTTTATCATATGACTATCTTTTCTTATCCTCTTAATAATATAGATTACGATTCTGATAATAAAAATTTTTATTTTGTTGTAGGAGTTTTTGTCAATCACATGAACTACTTGATCTACTGATCTTACGTTTTGATATACCAGATCCTTCAAAGGTTTATGGAGAGGAAGAAAAACCAAGTGGCTGCAAAGCCACTGCAAGGGAGGATTGGAAAAGATATCGAAAAGAATTTTGTCAGCCGGTTCAATTTCGAGTGCTTAATGTTTTAAGGCATTGGGTATGATAATTTATAATTTATTGATTATTATTTTTTTAAGCTATTTATTTATATCTTAAATTTATATTTATTATTATTTTGTTTTTATCTATAGGTTGATCATCATTTTTATGACTTTGAACATGATAAAGAGTTATTAGAAAAATTGCAAAATTTTTTAGAACAAGTTAATGGTAAATCGATGAAAAAATGGGTTGACTCGGTGATTAAAATTGTTCAGAGAAAATGTGAACCTTTTGAGCACAGACCCATTACTTTTAGTTTTGAAAAATCTCCACCAGCTATTGAGTGGCATTTAAAAGTTCCTGAAGAAGAATGGGAAGAAAGAGGAATCCTTACGGTAAATTTATTATTATTATTATTATTATTATTATTATATATTTATATACGTAATAAAAATTAGAGTAGCTGATATTTGATAATTTTTAGAATTTTTTTTAAATATAAATCACTCCAAAAAAAAATTAGAAAAAAAAATTGTTACATAAAATTAAAAAATGGTCAAGTGACTTAGTCTGCTAACTTTAATGTCATATATATGTAACACATTATTTATTATGGACTGTCTCAAATTTCTTTTAGTAAATTTTATTTAAAAACAAATTTAATTTTATGAATACTATTTTTTTTTTCAGTTGCATCCTATTGAATTAGCAAGACAGTTAACTCTGTTTGAGTTTGAGTTGTACAGAAACGTAAAACCCTCAGAAATAGTTGGATCAGAATGGACGAAAGACAATAAAGAAGTAACGTCACCTAATTTGCTAAAATTAATGAAGCACACGACAAATGTAAGATTCGATTTTTTCTTTTGAATAATCAAAAAATAATAAAAATTTTTAATAATAATTTTTGATAATAGTTTACAAGATGGCTTGAAAAAACGATATTAGAAACAGAAAATCTTGAAGAAAGAGTTGCTGTCGTATCGCGGGTAATTGAAATAATGATTGTACTGCAAGATCTTAATAATTTTAATGGCGTATTGGCAATTGTCAGTGCTATGGCATCGGCTGCATTGTTTAGATTACATTGTACGTTTCAGGTAAAAATGAAATTTATTTATTATTAATCTAAATTTAATAAACAATAAATGTATATTAATTGAAAAAAAATTTTTTTTTTATTTTTTATTGTAGCAAGTACCTGCAAGATTGTTAAAAGCATTAGAGGAAGCCCGAGATTTAGGCAATGACCATTTTAAAAAATATCAAGAGAAATTACGCTCCATCAATCCACCTTGTGTACCATTTTTCGGTAATTTAATCAAAATAATTATTAATATACTAAAAACAAATATTTTTAAAAAACTAGATAGTAATAAAATAATATTTGAAATTTTTAGGTATTTACCTGACAAATATTATTCATATTAAGGATGGAAACCCTGACTATCTTCCCGGCAATCCTAAACTTATAAATTTTAGTAAGCGACGAAAAGTTGCTGAAATAACGGGTGAAATTCAGCAATACCAAAATCAACCTTATTGTCTGTCCGTTGAACCAAGGATAAGGCATTTTATTGAGAATTTATCGCCATTTGATGCAGATATGCCACTAGCGGATATCGATCATTATTTGTACAATAAAAGTGTCGAGTTAGAGCCAAGAGGAACTCGACAGCCACTTAGAGCTCCCAGAAAATGGCCAGATTTAAATCTTAAATCACCAGGAATAAAAGCTCGAAGTATGAGCGGTAAATTGCCAGCTCCACTTCAAGCAATGGCTTCTAGTGTTAGATTACATGATCCAACACCAGAACCGGCGCCAGAGTTACCAGAAACTCCACCACATAATTCACAAAATATGACTCACAGTAGTGATCACAGTGTTTTTGCGCCTATACTACTTGGTAGTAAGTATTATCATTATAATTTAGTAAAATATATTTAATATAACCATATACATATTTATTTTATATTATTTATTTATTTATTCAAACGCTAATCGGATCGGTTTTATACATTAGATTCACATCAATTAAATTGAGTTTTAGGTAAAAAAAGAAAATAAAAATAAAAAAAAAAGCATTAACATTTCATTAGAATTAAATTAAATTAAATTAAATCAATTTCATTTACTTTATATTTAGATTATTTGAATTATAAATAATGCTTACTTATATAATTTATTATATATAATGCTCAGATTATACTGAGTGAAAAAAAATTTCAGGTAGTAGCTAGTATAATCCAGATTACAATGATTATAATCCAGATATTTAAAATAGATTTTAAATGAAATTTTAATTACTTCTATTGAAGGTACAGGCCCACCTCCTGGATCTCCAGGGCCATTGAGTATGTCTGGTCTTTCACTGGGTTCTCCAGGTAACAGTCCTCAATTAGGATCACCTGGACACCTTCCATCACACCATCAACCTCAGACAACGCATTTTGGTTTCAATTCTGGAACAATAAATATTACGGGTGCTCTTGCTGGTCTTCCATCGTCTAGTGGTAGCCCTGGTGCTGTTTTACCTACACCACCCTCGCCAAGTAATATGCCCTTAAGCCAGCCTCCACCGCCATTGCCACCTCGGTCCCATCGAAGACGCGAAAGCTCCATCAGCGAGTCTCCTCAGCAGGTTAAAAAAATAAATTAGTCAATAATATAAGCTGTTGAACATACTTAGTCGACAAACATACTTAGGTATAATAATTTACAGGCACGACAAGCACCTAATGCGCCAATTTTACCACCTCGGGAAGGAACATCTCCGCCGCCGCCGCTTCCACCGCGAAAAGACTTACTACCAGCGACTCTTCCACCTCGACTGCCATGCACACTAAACCCTTGCACCTCGGCACTTCTGGCCCGACGTAATTCAACCCTTGAGGGAACATCTCCAAATGCGACACACCCGAGGCGGTACATGTCTTTTAATGGTCCAAGTCCCACGACACTTCCGCCTACTCAGCCAAACGGTTCGGTGACACCTAGGTTACCACCTAGACCTCTGCCAGGACGCCCGCCGACCATGTTTAACTTCAACACCCCACCAGGACCTAGTTAAATTGCTCACTAATTGTCAGTGTTATCTCAAATGTACACCTTGTTTTATTTTTTTATCAAGTTAATTAAACAATGTTATTTTAACTGAATTATTTTAAGTAAAATAAATAACAATGTACCTTAAAAAATTATCAATAATACAAACGTAGAAAATTATATTACTGATATATTTATATTTAATCAGGTGGAATCATATAATTTTATTTGCCTTTTAAATTAAATAAATGAAAAAGGCAATTTACTATTATTATTAATAATAATTAATAAATAATATTAATATCAGTTAAGTGAAACTGATTATGTAAAACTAGGTATTAAAGCCTCAAGTTTTTTTGTTATTTATTAGCATTATTTTTGGGCAATAGTAAATTTTTTTAAAAATTGTTAGAGTTAAAATAATAATATTGTTATATAAAAAAAATTTTTTAGTTAAAAAATTAGTCAGTTAATTATATTGTATAAATGAATGCGTGCGCACAAAGAGAGTTTTCCACAATAAATTTGAAAATTGTACATCGACTCGAATGACCAAGTTTGATAATGGTTTATGAAATATTTTTTAACATTCCCTGTGATTGATACGATCTTGTGAGAAAACAAATAAGATTATCAGTTAACTAAAGTAATAATAAAAAATAAATAACAATAATGATAAAATTATATGTAAATATATAATTTTATAAATGTACAATGTTTTGAATCCCGAACTACGAGAAACTTTTCATTTTAAACGAAGAAGGTTTATTTTAAAAGAAAAAAAAAAAAAAAAAAACCACACAGACTGTTATAACTTGTACAATATATTTTTAGGTATTTTTTGTAAAAGCGTAAACACAACACATAGTACACATACACATTAATTTAGATATGTAAAATTATTCCCAAATTAATCTTGGGCTTGTTCAGAAAAGTCTCAGTGTAAGTTTATATACTCGGTCAATTAAATTATTAATTATATATTTTTTTCCCGGTTATTTTAACTTACACGAGTACATTTTTGGATCGCCGCTTCAATCCTTGTAAAAAAAATAAAATAATTACTAGTTGATAAATGTATGCAATTACAATAGTCTTGAGTGACATGGAATTATTATGTAAATATAAATATGTCTTTATTAACCATTGTAAGAATAAAATTAAAATTGTCGAGTTAAATTGATAAGAGCGAGTGAACAAAGATAAATAAATAATATAAATAAATAATTATGTGACATTACTCTTGTAATTAGTGTCATTTAGATTTCGCGAACAAGTACTATAAAATAAAATCATATGTGTATAAAAAAAGATATATCGGTGAATCCAAGTGTTCTTTACATAACATAATATAAATAATAAATACTAGAATTGAAACATTCGATCTCGATAAATAATAGAATAAAAAATAAATGAAATATTGAATTCTCTTAAATTATCATTCATTTTCCCTTTTATTTTTTTTTTGGGATCTTTTTTTAATTTCTTTTAAACAATTATAATTTAATATTAGATTTTACCAGCAGCCTCCACTAGCAGAATTAATTGAGCAATTTGGATGTTTGAAAATATAAAAATTTATCATGTTTATATTTTTTTACTAATTCACTGTCTGTAAGGATTTTCTTAAAAATTTGCTTTTATGTTTTAAAAGTTTGGTGATAAAAAATCATCAATAATTTAAATTTTTTCTTGATTATTTATTAAATTTTTTACTATTAAGTTTGTATTAATTTCAAGCAAAGAATTAATGTCATCCACTCTTCAAAAACCGTAGTAGATTTTTGACCGCTTTCAGAGTGACATTTGACGTAAGTTTACACTTTTTTGCCGCTAATGAAGAAATAACTATTCAAAAAAAAAAATAAGAAATTTTATGTGTTAGCACAATTATTTAAATTTCATAAAAGTAAAAAAACGTATCGGATTTCTTCTGTATTAATTATCATAAAAATTAATTAATTATAAAATAATAAAGTGCAATACTTATTTTAAGAATTTTTTATTAATACATTATACACAAAACTCCACTTCTAATTATTAAAAGTCATATTTACATCTCATTTTAAAGATATATTCATCCAGCAACAATTATCTTACAATAACAATTAATGATAATTATCAACATTAAATATACATGATTGTCTAAATTTTTGAATGTTTATTATTATCATCAGATAATGATTATATTATTAATCAATCGTGTACACAGGCTTCAGTCATCTGATTTTGTTGTATGGAACAACAATCTCAGTACATAAGTATAATAAAAAAAATATATATCAGATATAGTATACAGAACAAACTAAATTTTCATCTAAGATTTCTGTATACATGTATAAGCAATAATATTTAAAATATATTTTTTTTCTTACTTCCATAAAATTATTTTAAACATAAACTTAATTTGTTTAAAACATATTACACAATTTACAATTTATACACGCGGTCTATATGTTAATAAAGAAATAAATATTAAATATTTAGATTAAATTAAATACAATTAGGAAGCAACTTCCTTACTATACAATATACATACTCATAAGGATAATTGAATTTAGTGAAGAAAAGGGAATATTTTTCCACAAGACACCCCAATATTTATAATCAATTGCTATGACTAGTATTAAATTCGTAATCTCTTGCATTACAGTCTTCAAATATAAAAACAATTCAAAGTAATAATAATAACTTTGGCAGCACAGAAAAAGAGAGAAGAAAAGTTAAGAGTTTAATAAATACACTCTTCGTCACGCGGAAAATCAATTATTTAGTCAAAAAAACATTATCTTTATTATAAATTATGACATCTCCCAAGTACTTGAAGCTTCACTCATTCTCTTATGCTGATTGTTGCTATCATTATTGTTATTAAAATTAGGTTCATTTATATGAGCATCTAAATTATCACTGAGCTTACTGAACCTTCGGGTCCAACTGCCGTACTTGACACCACCATGCCGGCCAACTGCTCCTGCGTCTCTCAGTACATTTATCAAATCATCTTCTTCTTCTTTGCCTTTAACACCTTTTTCATATTTAGCTTCTTGGGCCAGTAATCTTTCACGGGATAACTGAGTAGTAATAGAACTTGGGGTCTCTGGTATAATGTAGCTCATGATACCCGTCAATGAAAACACCTGTAAAATGAAAATTTCATTAATAATTTACTAGCAACCTTGCAGTCACTATGTGACTGCCGTAACTTGTGAATTATAGATGAATAAAATTTTGCTTCATTAAACAATGACTTTTGTTAAATCGCACAGTCCTTTCTTAACTTTTGACGTTTTTTAAGATATAAGCTCATCCCGATGTTACACTCATCAAGAGCTTTCATTTGAGTACCCACATGCATTTTGATATATTTTTCATATATACATATATATGATATATATATATATAAATATATAAAATATATGAAAAATTGATGTGGGTACTCAAATGAAAGGTCTTAATAAGTGAAACATCGGGGTGAGCTTATATCTTTTAAAATATCAATATTTCACAAGATATTTGTTAAATTACACTGTAATTTTTTAAGTATTGACGTTTTTCAAGGTATAAGCTCATCCCGATGTTACACTCATCAAGAGCTTTCATTTGAGTACCCACATGCATTTTAATATATTTTTCATATATACATATATATAATATATAGAAAAATTGATGTGAGTACTCAAATAAAATGCATGTGGGTACTCAAATGAAAGCTCTTGACGAGTGTAACATCGGGATGAGCTTATATATCTTTGAAAACGTCAATAGTTAAGAAAGTACAGTGCAATTTAACATAATTAAGAAACGACCTTCTATATTTTGAGAACTATTGACATTTTTAAAGATATAAGCTCACCTCGACATTACACTCATCGAGACCTTTCACTTGAGTACCCACATGCATTTTGATATATTTTTCATATTTACATATATATATAATATATATAAATATATAAAAAATTGATGTGGGTACTCAAATGAAAGGTCTTGATGAGTGTAACATCGGGATGAGCTTATTATATCTTTAAAAATGTCAATAGTTCACGAGATACAAGGTTATTTCTTAATTATGTATCTAGAGATAGGGCATTTTCGAATGCAGCCTAAATATTTATCATAATAAATTGATTATCGGTGAGAATAATATGAAACCTTGAAAAGGCAAAAATTAAAGTCAAGACCTTTGCAATGACACTAAATTTAACTAAAAAAACCTATTTTATCATATGACTATCCTGGACACAAAATTTTTCTTATTCTCTTAATAATATAGATTATTTAGGAGTGTATATTAATATTTATACTCACAAAATGCTCGAAAACAACAACGAATGCCAGTCGTGCTGCAAATACGTGCCAATATTGCGGACTAAGGCCATATGGATCTCCCTTATGATCTGGACCATTTCTGTAACCGCGGTACTGACATGTTGCGGGTCGCGGTTCTTCCGAAGGATTAATCATGTCTTCACGGTAATCAGACGTATTAAACTCAGATAATGAGCTGTCAATGTAACCAACAAGATCATTTGTCGGTGAATAAACAAACGCATAAACACATCTTGGAATAAAGTCTGAAGTATAAGCAATAACGAATGCATTTGATACTACTGCTGCGTATGTTAATCCTTTGAGAATTCCATACCAAGCGCCTATATCTTCCACTCTTTCAGCTAGTGGTCTTCGTGCTTCTTTAACCATTTTATAAGCATCTAATCTTATTTCACCAATATTATTTAGCAAAGCAAATAACGGTGCTAAAGGAAAAGCCGCAACGAAAAGTGTTACAAAGCCATATTGAATAACTGTTGAAAAATAATTGGATTTTTAGTACATAGTAAATATTTTCTCACACTGATATTTTTATTTTTATTCAGTAATTACGCAGAAGTTGGGCTTCGCTTATTTTTGAGTGTAAAAAATCGAAAAATTGATTTTTTTGAATATTTGTTTTTTCAAATTGTTCTTTTTCACGACGGATTTATGATAAAAATTATAAAAAGTATGAAAATGAAATTTTGATGTCTTTTTTTTTTCATTTAAAGTTTCTAAAATTAAGATTTTAGGTGTTATTCAATGAAATGACGACGATGCTATTTTTTCCAGTGATTAAAATATTTTTTTTCTTAAAAAGCTATAAAAATAGAATGAATTAGAAAAAAAAATTCAGAATATCATAATTTAAAAATTTTTGAATTTTTGTATGAAAAAAAATTACCAAAATATTCAATTTTCATACTTTTCATCATAAATCCGCTCGGGCTGTGAAGAAGAAAAATTAAAAAAAAAAAAAAATATTCTAAAGATCAATTTTTCGATTTTTTATTTTAATTTTAAGAGATTATTCCGATCCTGACATTGAATTAAATTGATGTATTGTAATCCGAGGAGTAAGGATCATAAAATAAGTTAATACAAGATTTTTATTTTACGCAACGTTTCGGAGTTTATTACTCCTTCTTCAGGCGTCTGTGGAAATATACAAAAAATTATTTTTTACAATTAATTATTACAAACAGCAAAGAGATTTGAAGTACTGTTTGTAATAATTAATTGTTATTAAAAATAAAATAACTTATTTTATGATCGTTACTCCTCGGATTACAATACATCAATTTTTTATTTTATTTCAATTTTATCAAAAATAGTTAGAGCCACACTTCTGCATAATTACCTTTTATTTTTATATTGATATTAGTAACTTACTCATCTCGAGATATTCATCAAACAGTGCTAATTTACCAGGATCCTGAAGCTGATAATCTTGTTCCCAAGAAGTATAATGTCTATCATGATCTTTTGTTCTAGCGCGGTGAGTTCTTTTACGCCACCAATTGACTAGTTTCGGTGTTAATATTTCTTGGAAATTATTGAATAATTGTTTTCCGACCATTATTATTGCCAATTGTATACATAGTTCGGAAAGACAACCAGCTGGATCACACACATCGGTTTTGATGCGGTAAAACTCCGAAGAACGTGCATCTGTATCACCAGGGTGAGCGTAAAATCTTCCCTGTTAATAAATTAAAATAAATTTTGAAAAAGTTACTAAAAAATAAAAAATAAAATTTCTTATCGATTGATTATTAATAAAAAATGTAGTACCTTAAAAAAAGCAATGTAAACAAGTGAGGAATAAAAGTTAACAAATTCAAAAATAAATATCTTAAAAGTAAAACTGTCTTCATATTCAGTTTGAGTTCTTGGATTCTCCATATTAACCATCCATTTGGCTAATCGTTGATACACTCGCGTTAAAAGCATAATTATTATCAAGTTAAGAAGAGCAGCACTTGTCGATGTGAAAATTTTGACATGTCTTCTGATAAATGATCCACCGCCGCCGTAAAATACTGCAATTAATGATACTCGGTAAATAATTGTTCCGAGAACAGCACCAAGAACTACGCAAATCTGTAATTGTGTATTATTTTATTAATTATTAAGTAATTTTTTCATAAATGGCTTAATTAATAAAAAAATAAATATGTTTATTTATTACCATAAAAAATACAAGCGATCCAGTAACCATATTTCTCCAGACTCTTGACCAAAGAGGCATATAAGGTTCACGTTCCCGCGTAACTGGATTTATCCTAAATGTTTTAACAGTAGTTTCGAATTCAGGTCTTGGATCTTCATCACCGTCTGCATTTTGGAGATCCCATTCCCAAACAATAACAGCTTGCCGACGTTTCCAAAGCTCAAGAAAACTTGTCGCTGTAAATAATAAATTTATAATGTAATTAATAATAAAAATTTTTAATAACTTCATCGTATATTACACCCCTTGGTAAGGAAAATAAGAAAAGCCTTAGATCACACTGATAGAAGGATTTGTTTATAGTTAAAAATATTTGTTAATATTTAAAAAATCATTTATTAGAGAGCACTTTTTAGTATTAAACAAATTATTCTTAGTATTTAAAATGATTTGTTTGTATTTAATAAATCTGATATTTATTTATTAAATATTAATAAATTATTTGTTAATTGATCTGAGGTTTTCTTTTTTACTTTCCAAGGGCTGTATACTATTTTTTTGTCCGACGAAGGCGGAAAGCGGCAACTTTGTTTAGCGTAGCGGGACAAAAGTTGCCACTTTCCGCCCCGAGGGCAAAAAAAACTATATACTATTTAATGAATTATTACCCCAAAATGACATAAATATTGCGAAGAAAACTGTTGAAGGATTATCGAACAGATATGAAAGTCTTGAAAATTTACAGGAATCACCTAATCTCCGGAATGAACAAGCTTTATCACATAATGGGCATAATGTTATATTCCCAGCGATATTGGGATCACAGATTTCATGACTAGGCACATTGTCAGGTCCACCCATACTCCCAAGTCCATAAATAAAACAAAGTAATCCAACGATTGCCGGTGGGTAGAGAGCACGTGTGTAAAAACCCAACCAGGCAAAGTACAACGCTACTTTTTCGCCGAAATATCGTCGAATCAGCCACAAAGGTTGCTTCTTATACCTTTTTATAAAATTTTTTTTATATTATTCATATGAAAATTATCCTTGTTTTTTTTTTTTTTTTTTGACATTTGAAAAAGTTTCTCAAACTATAATAGTATCGTGATTAATTCAGCCGTGTGCCTTGAACTTGTTTGATATTTCTTAGCACGTTGGTAAAAAATGTATTATATTGATTACTTGCTTCAATAGTTTGCTAACTATCTATATTTTATACGTCAAAATAAATTATAGATAAATCCTAAATATTCAATAATTATCTTTTGATATTTTTTTGTTAGTAACTTTTAGAAAAAGAATTTTAACTCTAAAACTATGCGTCTTACAACACTTATTCAATTTTTTATCAAAAAAATTTTTTTTCAACTATACAAAAAAAATTTTTAAATCTGAAGAAAATAATAAAAAAATCCCATATATTTTACCATTGAGAGGGTCTAGCCCAGATAAGATAGAGAAGATGACGATCTAAAGGTACACCATCAGGCCCAGGACGATCGTAAGGTCCTTCATGCAGACTGAAGCAGTCGAGATAAGTTCCATCAGCAATAATCCTTTTTATCCCTGCTTTTTCGTGTACATCATCGTACCGCGTTCGTGATAGAATTTGCATCACGATCAACGATCTCTGAGCTGGCGTGTATGACGACTCTCGATCTTTCACTAGAAATCTTTTATTAAAAAGAAATTTATTAACTAAAGTAAAAATAAAAAAAAAAAAAATAAATAATGATATACTCCAGGTAAAGTTAAAAATAAGACGTAATAATTGTGGCATACAAAAGAGCTCGTTAGTATTATCTAGAGTTATGATTTAATAATCCGAGGTAAATTGTTCGGGTAAAATTCAATTTTCTATAGTTGTGTAAATGTATGTATATATTGAGAGGGCGTAAAGGTCAATATAAAAACACTTGGAGCGTACTGACAAGTTTATTGAGTGGACGGAAAAAATGGAAAAAAATAATTGATTATTTTTCATACCTTTCTTCTTGACTATCGGCGTCTTGACCAGCATAAAAGCTTGGCTCTTCTGGATATAATTTAGTGTCCCACGAGTGAATTTTTTTCAATAAATCTAAGCAGCTTCCCATATTTAGCTTCTCCCAAAATTTTTTTTTGCTTTTTATACCGTCATCGCCCTTTAAATAAAAATAACATAATAAGAACAGTTAATCTTTAAATTAATACTAAAATACTAATTAAAAATTGATGTAATTAAATTACCCATGCCTTTACTGAAATAGTAATCAATCTTTTGGTAATAAGTTTAATATTCATAACTTCAGCGTACTGAATTTTTATTTTCCAGGGAATATGAAGTTTTAGGAAAAATGTTTTTCCGTCAAATGAATTTTCTTTTGGTTCCAATTCCATCTGTAGGCCTTCTTTGAGTAAATTTTCTTGGAAAACACGTCGTTGCTCTCGCTTCCTTGCTTCTATTTCTGTAATTACACCCTCGGTTTCTTCTTGATAAACTAATACCATGTCAATACGCCTCCGACCATCCCTGTAGACAAAAGCGTGTACGTAATGAAATAAGTTTGCAGATTTACGTCACTGTCAATAAAAAATCTATAAATATATCATCAAATATATCCATATGTAGGTTTTAACAGTGATATAGACTACTTATATCGTTGTGACATATGTGTAAAGTCAATAATCATATTACGATTAATAGTTTAAAGACTACTTGCAGTGTATGCCTGTTTTTTTTAGACTACCTTCATTATTGTGTCCTTGTTCTTATTCGTTGAGAATGGAGAACTTTACCTACGTCTATTACTCTACATTGTCATGTCATATATAAATGCAATAATGTTATGATTATTATTATTATTATTATTATTATAATAGAATCGATTGTTATTAAAGTAACTTATATTAAGTTAAATAGTTAAGTTTTTTTTGTTTACTTGAAGGTACTTTGAAAAGATTTAATTTCATTAATTCAAGCGCGTGTTATCAATAATTATAATTATAGCATAGTGGCTATAAAAAGAAACGCTATTAGGGTAAACGAACGTTAAATTATTTGATGACACGAAATTAATAACTATTTTATATAAATGTGTCTGGTAATTTTCTTGCAGACTAATCAAATACAATTTCTATTTTTAGTTTCATTTTTTTTGCAAGAGATAATTTTATGATACTGACATTGAGAGAGATCTAATAATTTTTAGAATTTTTTTAATAAATTTTTACAAGAAAAATTTACAAATGCAATTTTTTAAAAATAAATTTCTAATTTATTTTTCAAAAAAAATTAAAAAATAGTCAAGTGTCACAAAATTTGGATTAAAAAAAATTATTCGAGGACAATTTTTTGACTTTGATTCTCTAATTTTTTAAATTAAAACTAAAAAATATTTTTAAAAAATTGCACGTGTAGTTTATCAAGTTTTTAACAAATTAAATTTTTTTTTTAATTTTTTCAATTAAAAAAAATTCCAAAACGATTATTATTATTAAAGTTACAGGATAGATTATTTTTTTTTTAAATAAAAAAATGTAAATGATAAAAAAATTTTTACTAAAATTGAAATAAGAAGACTACTTACCGAAAAAAAAGTGTTTCAGGATCAGGTTCAACATCATGAGAACCTCCAGCAGCTCCATTCTGTTGATTTATGTTTTTAGCTGCTTGCTCGTCATCAAATGGACCATCTCCAAGGGTTGGCGTCACTGCTAACGAATTAACTTCAGACATTGCTGGAGTCAATTTTGGTCCTAAAATATCATTCAAATTTTAATAAAAATTCAATTTTTTTAATTTACTCTGTTTTGATTTAAAGAAAAAAAATGTTTTTTACACACATTGTCAATACATTTCAATAAAAATGAATTAAGAAAACTCTTGTTATTAATTAATTTTTGTTATTCGAAAAGTTAATTTTCTTTTATTAGCACCCACCATCATCCACCACGCCTCTATTCAAGTTCACAATGTTGACTAAACTTCTATTGAACTCAGCATTATTTCTGACACACTGACATTTATAGAGACTTATTATTGTATAATTCATTCATAGATCAGCAGAAGTTCTAATCGATCGATTATTATAAATAATATATTAGTAGATAATATTAAATGCTCTTCTATTATAATAGTAGCGATTAAATTGAAATTGATTGATCAGTTTATAAATAAAAAAAAAAAAATATAGGTGAACAAAATATAAAAAATATAGTTTAGGGAAGAAATAGCGGTAATAAAGTAAGAGATCGCGTGACAGTTATCCATTACTATACATTATGTGCAAAAACGATGTCACAATAATGATATACAGATACAAAAGAATATTAATGATGTGTGTATTTCCTTCATATAAATATAGACAATGAGATAAAAAATTTTACTATTGCTAAATAAAAATAAAGACCATTTATTTTTATAACAACATTAAAAAATAGTACCGGAGAAAAATTTATGCTTGATTATTTGATTCTTTAATTTTTTAAATTAGACCTAAAAAATATTTTTAAAAAATTGCACTTGTAGTTTTTCAAGTTTTTAACAAATGAAATTTTTTTTTTTTTAATTTTTTCAATGAAAAAAAATTTCAAAAATTTTTAGATGTCGGCTAATTTAATTTTCATCGATTATTATTATTAAAAAAATTTATCCAATTGTTATCTTTTTACACAAAATTTCTAGCCATTTTTAAAATAATTAAAAATTAATACCAACTATGCTTGTAGATAAAAATTAATTAAAATCTCACCAAAAGCATCACGAACAGTAAGATCAGAAGACCTCGGATAGACAGAAGCAGCAGAGGCCTTTTTATTCTTCGGACTCGTACTATCTCTGATATCAACATTAATTCTATTATCATCATTTTTCCCGGGTCTGTAAAACATATTTCGGCCTCTGAAAGCGCACTTCTCTCCATCACCTTCATCTGTAATAACTGCACTGTCTCCCGACATCGCGATATTCCTCAAATGCTTGATGATACTTTCACTTATCGAAGATTGTCTTCGAAATACCGGTGAGTTTGCTGGGGTACCGATTAAAGAAACTTCCGGGGTGCCGATCGAACGAACAAGATCACTCAGCTGGGATTTTGATGGACTTGGTCCGCCTAATTGTGCCGTCAACGAGCTGTTACTTGGTCTGCGACTGTGATTATCCTAAAAATAATTAAAATTTAGTTAATTAGCAAATTTAAAATAATCAAATTAACAATGAAAATTAATTTAGCAGATATTTGATAATTTTAAGAATTTTTTTAACAAGTAAATTATGGTAAAAAAAAATTGACATGTAGAAATTTGAAAAAATAAAAAATGCAATTTTTTATAAGTAATTTTTTGGAACAAATTTATTTGTTAAAGAAAATTAAAAAATAATCAAGTGACTGCTAACTTCAATGTCATAATTAATAATAAGTAAATAATAATAAAAAAGAAAAAAAAACAGAGTTATAAAAATTAATTTAGCAGATATTTGATAATTTTAATAATTTTTGTAATAAATAAATTATGACAAAAATTATTTTTTTTTAAATTGACATGAAGAAATTTAAAAAAAATAAAAAATGCAATTTTTTATAAATAATTTTTTTGAATAAATTTGTTAAAGAAAATTAAAAAATAGTCAAGTGACTGCTAATTTCAATATCATAATTAATAATAATAGTAAAAAAATAAAAAAAAAAAACAACCAGAGTTATGAAAATTAATTTAGCAGATATTTGATAATTTTGTAAAAATTAAATTATGAAAAAAAAAAAAAACTTTTTTTTTAAATTGACATGTAGAAATTTTAAAAAATAAAAAATGCAATTTTTCATAAATCATTTTCGGAACAAATTTGTTTGTTAAAGAAAATTAAAAATTGTAAATTGACAGTAAAGCTAAATTGTCATACCAGAGTTTCGTCTTGGTGGGTGATACTGTCAGCCATCAGATTAGGAGTATCCGGAAATGTGAAAGTCGCTGTCGTTGACTTGGATGTGAGGTAACTCGGACTGCACCCGGCAAGATCACTAAGTGGAGGAGGAAGTGGTAGGAGAGCTTTTTTTGCCACTACGAGCTGCATTCGTAGGACGTTGTCCTCCCTACTCACTACGTCGTTCTCATCGTCCAAGTCCTCGTCCTCGTCCCGGGTATTCATCGCAATCGATCAATGGTATTTAAAAGCAGAGTAAAAAAATACGTAGTAACGTTTATAACAATAATAATAATTGTCTGCGGTTTTGTTTCCTCGATTAGATTATTAATACTGAGATCGATATGTATAACCACGAGGAAAATCGTTTTCCACGGCCTTGGCACCACTGACTTTAATGTTATTATTACTATCTATATCGGTATACTCTGTTACGCTTTATTGTTGCTTTTTTTTTTTTGCTATTGCGCTCAGCAAGATTGATGATTTTTTTCTATACCATCATATTAATTTTTCACCGATGTTTGCCTTCAACTATTCACTGATTGATAATAATTTTTTTTGTTTTAGGTAATAATCACTGAGGATGATGAATGGTGACAGCCATGGTCGCGCTGAATGACAATATCTTAAATGAGATGTTAGGTTGATATGAGCAATACAGAAGAAAACAAATAAAAGAATTATTATTAATGTCAACAATACCTTTAACTGGATGATAAAAATTACGAGATTATTTTTTTTGACATTGACAATTAATTAAAACGAAAAAAAGAAATGACCTATAAATATTTAAGTATAATTTTATTTTTAAACTTACTTAGTAACTTCTTTATTAATTGATAGTGATTAAAAATAACAAATCGATTTTGATGATGTAGATAAACGAACTGGTAAAGATGTAAAGACTATTTTATATATTATATATCAATTGAAGTAATTGAATATACAGTTATGGTAGTAATTGGTTGTATTTTGAATTAAAGGAGTATAAACCAACCGGCACGCGGGCGGAGAACTAACGCGGTAAAGCCAAGTAACAAGTATTAGCAAGAAGTTATAGTAAATGGGGGTTGTTCATGCGTCCACATGCGTTGGCGGCGATATTTAACGACTGAACTAGAACTACTGACTGACCTGGTCCCTCTACTTGCAGAAGCTCTATTCGATTCATTACTTCTACACTAACATTGAATTGTAATGGTCTGCAAATAAAATACAGACAACGCGAATATAGAGTATAATATTCTATGCTTGTCATCAGGGTTGACTAGGACACGCGACTGATTGTGACCCATGCATGACATTCTGCATTACTTTTCTCTCTGCAATTTAATAATTTATACACTCACTTTTTCACAAACGGATTATCTTCTTTACTAATTAATGAAAAAAATTACGTTTGCATCAACGATAATTTATTTGTAAAGTATGAAAATTTTTTGATTAGTTTTTATTTTCTGCAGATCTATTTGTAAGATTCCAGAGCAGTTGACGATGATTAACTGCTATTTTAAATGTGATTTAAGATCTTTGAAGCTTGCAATTTTGTCTGACTATGTATGGGTAATTATCTTTAACTGTCTGCTTCTTCTACATTCTATAGATCTTAATGACGATGACCAATTAGTTATCAAGAATTGTTAGGGGTAATTATGTTATTAGTACTACGCTTTGTCTAAGCTTGGAGTAATTGAAAAAAATTATTTTAGAGCGTTGGTAATTTTCAAACAAAATATTTTACTTTTTTTTTCTTGAGATTAATTTGGAAATTTTATTTATAAGAACACATATCTATAAATAAACTTCTAATATATTATGTATAATGTGGATCGAATATGAATAAATATTTTGAGGTATATATATAATTTACCTATTTTGATTTGACTTCGTTTGTTTGGGTTCATTATTATGATGTGTGTATATTTCTTATTTTTTATAAATTTGATATATTTTACAAAAAATTCTTTATTGAAATAGTTTTTTTTTTTTTAACTCTCGCTTTATAAATAAAAAAGTTCATAACTAAAAAAAAATTTTAATATTTACAGAAACAATTTTTAAAAATGTGTGTAAATTTATCCGTGCGGAAGAGAAGATATATGAGAGTAATTTTCATTGATAATATAACAAGAGCTTACGACAATTTAGACCGAAAAAAGGTTGACTTTTTAGGAAGGGTAAACTCCAAGCTTTTATTTTTTAGAAAGAAGAATTATTTTTTAAGAAACTTGTAAAAATTCTGAAAAAACTTTTGTTGAAAAGAATTTTCTTTTTGCTGCGAAGGATGTGATAGATAATATCTTAGCGGTGTTCCACAATTGTACAGGTATAAGAAGAAATATAAATTAAAAATTAATTTTTCAAGAAATCGTGTGATGAACTATATTGAAATTCAGGGTGTAAGTATGTTTGATTAATATTACACTGAGAAAAAAAAAAACTTTTATTAAGAAAATTTTCTTGATACAAAAATTTATGTTCTTGAAAATTTTGAATATATTCTTAGCTCAACAAATTGTTAAATTGATTGAAATAATTTTTACTTAATTTAAATAAAGCTATTCTTTTGTTTATCTAATATCCAAAGATAAATATTGATATTCTTCTCTTCAGAAATTAATAATTAATAATAATAGAATATTTGATCGTCAGCGAGTTTGTTGAGCTAAGAAATTGTTAATTGAGCAAAAGTATTTTTTTTTTCTCAGTGTAAAGTATCCTTAAAGTTAGTGCATGATTAATAATTAAAAAATGATAGTTATAAATAATAATATCTTACTTAAATTGATATTTTTATTTAAAGATAAAAATTATGATGAAGATGAAGCTACTAAAATAATTTGACAGTAAATTCGTCAGAGGAGATATTGTATGTTACTAAAAAATGAAGATATATGACAAAAGGTAAAATATCAATTTTTTTTTAATGAGAAAACTATTTTTAATAAAATTAAACATTTAAAGAAGAAAACTTGGGAAGAATGAATGTAAAAAAACTTCAAAAATTTTATTTATATAAACCTTTCTTACAAAATTTCTTTTTACAGTGTTTTTAAAAAATTAGTAATAAAAACTATGATACTAAAAATAACCGACGTTCAAAAATTTTTAATTGTTTTCAACAATTAAGTTACAAGTAAAAAAATACTTAAAAAAAAATTGCACGTATAATTTTTAAAGTTTTCTAGATGTAAAATTTTTTCTTTTAATTTTTTCAATAAAAAAAATTATTAAAATTTTCAAATGTCGGCTAATTTAATTTTTATATAAAAACTGAATAACAAATTGCTTCAGTTATTTGTACACCAATGAATTGTGAGCAGATGGAACTGGGAAGCAATAGGCAAATTAAATCAATATAAGCGTGTAAAACAGTAGGTGGTCCATAAATGCTTCTGAGTTTTTTATATTGGTCTCTCATGACTAAACTGTAGTAAGAAGGCTTACAGATGTGCGCTTGTGTGTGTTTTACATATGTTTTTCATTTGAGATTGGTGGTATAGTAACGGTGGCGTCACACTACTCGATCAGCGGCCATTTTCATCGTAAGCGAGCGATCACTCTCGATATCAACATAAATTGAAACTCTACTCATCAACGCAGCGTACACACACACACACACACACACACACACACAACTCTCGTTGAGTGAGAGTAACAGTGAGTACAACTGAGAACTGAGTTGTCAGACACCTGTGAATGCCTGTGGAGAATTGACGAGTGTATTTTCTTTTAAATAACAAGGTAATTAACTTTTGCTATTTGTACCGACACTTTCGTCCCAACTCTTTAAGAATGTTGTGATCGATACCCAGGTTTCGTTTATCAACTCCGATTGTATTTACAATTTTATATTTTGTCTATTTAAACTGAAAAAAAAATGTTCTTATGTGTAAAATTAATTTGTGATGTGATTAATTTACAGGGCGTGTCACGATGAAGTTTATAATATTAATTGCCGCTGCATTTATACAATCGAGTGAGTAAAATTATTTTATTTTTTTTTTTTTTTGCTTGTACTGAAAAATAAATAGTGTTAATTATGAATGAATGAGTTAATGTTTTATTTGAAATAAAAATAACTTTGTTTTCATTTTTTAGTCACTTGTCAAAGAGCTCCAACAATATCATACATATCCCAGGAACAAATAAAAGACATTGGTGGTACTGTTGAATTACAATGTTCTGTTCAATATGGTCAGGAGTATCCAGTCTTGTGGGTAAAAATGGATAAACAAACAGGTGACCAAACGCCACTTTCTTCCAAAACATCGCTGATTATTCGTGACAGTAGATTCGCTCTCAGATTCGATACAGCTACTGCTACATATACTCTTCAGGTATGAAAATTAATTTAGCATGATAATTAATGTAGCACATATTTAATAATTTAAAAAAATTTTATAACAAATGAATTACGGCATAAGAAAATAAAAAAAAAAAAAATTACATTTAGAAATTTAAATAAATAAAAAATGCAATTTTTTGAAAATAATTTTTTAGAACAAATATTTTTGTTAAATAAAATTAAAAAATTGTCAAGTGACAGCTAACTTTAATGTCTTTAATTTAGCAGATATTTGATAATTTTTAAAACTGTTGTTAACTAATAAATTACGGCAAAAAAAAAAAATAAGAAAAAAAAAATTGACAAGTAGAAATTTTAAAAAATAAAAAATGCAATTTTTTAGAATTAATTTTAATTGTTAAATAAAATTAAAAATTGGTCAAGTGATAGCTAACTTTACTGTCATTCTTCAGATAAATAAGAAATATTTACAACTATATTTTTAAATGCTAAAAAATTTATTATTAGCTATATTTCAATTCATATATTTTAATTGAGATGAATACTATAAAAATGTTGATATTCTAGTTTTTACTCCCGCTTATTTTCGTCTTCAAGTTGTAAATTTAGGGTTTGTGAGATAAGATCTGAAGACGATTTCTCAGGGATTATTCGGTATGACGTTTTTAAATTTAAAGCTATTTTTCGAGTATATGCTTAGTTTTTTATCAGCAGGAAATTTCTGAACCTTTTTAATACTTAAAGTTTTTTTTATTCATAGCTTGATATTTAATGATAGACAAAAGAGTTGAGTCACGACAATTTATAAAAGTTTTGACCAAATTAATTTAAATGGAGTGAAAATCTTCGTAAAGTTTTCAACTCGAAGATGAAAGCAATGGACCATTATTGTATGGCTGTTGGTATCGTTCCAGCAATGATTTTAGAGTTTTCAGGTCAAGTACCTCTAAATTATGAGTCCTCCGTAGTTCCTTTAGCTTTTAAAGTTAAGGAAGGGCGGGAGCGCATAGACGTCAAAGGTAAAATATTGACGTTTTTAATCATGTTTCTAGAGACTTGAAATAAAAAAATAACTCTGAGATTTATAGATAACTAAGGATAAGTTTTCTAACAATTGACTTTTGAGGAAAAATACAGAAACTTTAAAAAACAAGAACATTGTTTTGATTAATTATAAATTTTTGTTCTGGTCAAGAGTCTTAAAGAATCATAAGTCTATAAGAAGTCGAGATATTGCATGAAATAATGATAAAAACCCGTATTAATAAAGTGTAATTTACGCCTAGTGGAGTGAGCAAGTGATGATTAGTAAATTAATGAATAAATTTAATTAAAATCAAGAAAAAATTTCTTCACGAAATTAAAATAATTATTTTTGTAATTTTATGTAATGATACTTAATTGATATGATATGATTAATGTATGTTTATTTTTTCAGATAAAAGACATTCAAGAGACTGATGCTGCGCGCTATGAGTGCCAGGTTCTAATTTCTGTAAACAACCGAATCCGTGCCAGTGTTGAACTTCAAGTTCGTCGTGCTCCATTTATCAGTGATAACTCAACTCGTGCAGTAGTTGCTAGCGAGGGTGAGCCTATCACTCTAGAGTGTTATGCAAGTGGTTATCCTGCTCCTAGAATATCGTGGCGTAGAGAAAATAACGCTATTTTACCCACAGGAGGCTCAATATACCGGTACGACTATCGCAGTAATTTTTTGTTTAAAAATAACTTGTAATATAATTTTGAGTTTGAACGTCTAGTTATTTGATTCTTATTTATACTTCATCTTATAGGCGATGAAGTATAAAGGGAAAGTTTACTTAAAGTTGCGAAATACACGATAACATGTTTGGGAACTTTGAATGAGTAAAGTTTGTTACTGGTTAATTCATAACTATAAATAACTCGTTGCTAAAATAAAGATAATTAATTCGCTACTGATTAACTTTGTAGTATGTCGAGTAAATGGGCTCTGATTACGAATGCAATACAATACTTATAAATTGAAATCGATTATTATTTATAATTGTTAGAAGAAGATTATTTACACCATCTCAATTTATAAATATCGTATTGTAGAATTTGAGTTTATTGATTTATATTGGAACTAAAATTTATAATTATTGTCATTATGAACGCAACTTATACAAGTATCGAATAAGACTAATAAACGTATTGTTAAATGTACAGAGGAAACGTATTGAAGATACCAGCAGTACGAAAAGAAGATCGTGGAACGTATTACTGTGTTGCTGATAATTCAGTTGGTCGAGGTACCAGACGGAACATCAATGTCGAAGTTGAATTCGCCCCAGTAATAACAGTATCCAGACCCCGAGAAGGTCAAGCTCTGCAGTTTGATGCTGACTTGAAGTGCCACGTAGAAGGTTACCCAAGTCCCGCAATAACTTGGTTACAGAATGGAGTTGAATTATCAAGCAATCAGCATTACATTATATCACAGTTCGCCACTGCCGACGAATATACTGATGCAACCCTTCGTATAGTCACTGTCGAGAAAAGACAGTACGGAGAATATGTTTGCCGTGCAAATAACAAACTTGGCACCAGAGAAGCTAAACTTGAACTTTACGGTAAAATTTATTCATTTTATTTTAACAATATCAATGTTATTACAAATTATACTTGCTTGCTGTCATTTAAATACTTTGCACAAGTATATTTTGTCATTGTTATTAAATTTTAGCTCGTTAATTAGGTCCTGGCTTTAAGTAAATTTGATTTCAGTGATTATATAATTTATTATATATATTATTTTGTAGTGAGCATGTTATTAGTTTTTTGTTTATTTATCTCCGCAGAAACAATTATCCCAGTATGTCCTCCGGCTTGTGGACAAGCCAAATACGGAACAGGTGCTATTCCAGTTTCATCTGGACCTCTTATAGCTCTTGTGATGCTTACAGTAGCTTTGTACAAGTAAGTATATCGTTGTCTATTGTTTTTTTTTTTAACGAAGCATTTTTAATATAAAGCAACATTAATTTCAAAATTTTTTAAATTAAATACCTGTGGGCTGATTCATCCCCAGTGAATGTTGATGCATTTTTTAATCTAGTTTTTCAATATTTTATTCAAGTATTTAATAATTATAATTGTTATTTAAATATTAAATATAATTCTGTTACAGAAACTTCAATGCCAAATATTAATTATCCTGGTTTACTTTCATCGACGGCAAATGAAAATTTTTTATCCAAGTGGCTTCTCACCATTTTTTGGATTATCATATTGACAAAATCGAAAAGTTATTAACGAGTCTTCTGGTCGTTTTTATATAAAAAGGTTACATTTTTCCTTACAATTTAGATATTTAAATACTCGCCAACATCGAAAGTAATTTTTATATTATTTTGATACTAATAGATCTGAACATTTTCTCTCTATCACAAGTATAATTTAAAAAAAAAAAAAAAAAAACGTAGTATAAAAAATGGGAAATCGTGATCTTATAAATTATTATTTTTTCTAGAGAGATTTAAATTAATAATTAACACATAATAGTGTTTAATAATATAAACATGTAACGTAATTATTAATTGCACTAGACAATGAACGTTTTATTGTAAAATTAGTGTAATTTAACGAACAATATGAGGAACAAGAAAATATTTAGCTCAATGAAGAATACTATAATCTCATTATCTATGACAGAATAAGAAAATAATTAAAAGAATTGTTAATAATTATAAATGGCTCCGACAGCACAAATCTCTATAGATTTTTATATAAATTTTGTACTTTAATATTGATAATAATATAAATCATTATTACATCTAATAATGATAGACAAAATAATAATAACGATAAAAATTGCTCCAAAAAAAACTATTGACTATCATGAAAAATCTTTTTTACAACTTTAATACTTAAATTTTTTACTCTTAACTGTTTTTATAGATAAATAAAAACGATATAAGGGAGTTAAATGAATCTCTTTAATTCATTCTATGTCAAGGGGTCATTAATTTATTGTGTAGTAGAATAATCTTATGTACTATAATTAATGGTATCGATTACAGACGTAATATTATTATTCATTTAAATCTTATTTAAACGTACTCTGATCTGTATCGCTTACCATGCACGGATACCTGTATCACTCACAAAATGTAGTAATGATTTAAAAAAAAAAAAATATAATTAGATTTATTTATACATGCTATTTATACAAAGACATGTAAAAAACATATCGGCAGCACAATTTTATTAATTAAATAAAATAAAATTTAATATTAGTAATATCTACCAGTAGATATTAATACAATTTTATTATTTTGTTTATTTTTTCACAATTGTTGGGATTTTTTTGTATATTAAAAAACTAAATGACGAAAAAATCACGACAATAAATAGTTAACAAACTCTTTTATAAAATACTTTTTGTAATTTTTTATTTTATTTTGTATGACATTTTTTAACTTTATTAAAAATAAATTTTTTGATGTAATATTAAAACTGTTGTTATAATTTTCACTTTCGTATTAAAGAATTAAGAAGAGCCAAGAATTACATAAGTACCCTGCTTATATCACCTTGTCCAAATGCGTCGGGTTGCGTATCAGGCCCCAAATATTATAACACTAAAGTTAGCCGACGTTTTAAATTTTTTGATTTTTTTTCAATAATTAAATTAGAATAAAAAAAGATTTTTTTAAAATTGCACTTACAGTTTTTCAAGTTTTTTACAAATGAAATTTTTTTTTTATTTTTTTGAATCAATTTTTTCAATAAAAAAAAATTCTAAAAATTTTTGGATGTCGGCTAATTTAATTTTCATCAAATATTCTGTATTTTGGAGTGGATGCGCTAACTCAATCCAAAACTCCAGGAAATAAGAGCTTATCGTTTGTTTATTTACAACCTTCCTCAAGTGAAACTCGCTTATGTCATATATACTCTTTTTTATCACAAGTTTTCTATTTATTAACATTCTTTATGAGATAATGTTAATGGGAACTCGAAACTATTTTATTTAATTAAGTGTTCATTTAACATTCTTGAGTCCTAGTTGATTTGTTATCTAATTTTATTCAATATTTCTAATTATTTATTATTTGTTATGTAAAAAAAATTTAGTATTTTAATTATTATTATTATTATTATTATTATTTACTTATAACAATTTAGTTGCCGCAATTTTTCTTAACGAAATTCCATCCTCTAAATCACAATACGCGACATAAGTGACACAAACGGAGAACTTTGTTATACTAACAGTGACAAGCTCTTACAGGAATTTGTGAGGTTAGCTCCCGTTTGACTTTTGACGTCTCTATTTTATTCTCCATCCTTTTTTGTGTCTTGCTTTTGTTTGTAATTTTATAACAATAAAAAACAACACATAAACTGAAGATACTTTCATCTGAATTGTTTAACTGATGTTTGTTCTCTAAATTGATGATTTAATTTTCACACAACAATGACATTGAAGGATAATAAAATTATAGAAGCTTTACGTGATTACACATGCATGAGTGCACTCAGCTCTGATAAGCCAGAACAAGTAGTAAGAAAATTTATTCCAACTAATGATTCTTATGAAAAATTAAAAAGTCATTTAAATTATCATATTAATTCAAAAACTACCACGGAAATTATTCAATATGCAGTTTTAAATAAAATGATTGCCAAAATTTCTTACAAGTATGAGCTCTTTAATAATGGTAAGAGAAGCAACAAACATTATCCATTGTATTTAAGAATGATATGAGTTTAAATTGACAATTTTATTTTTAGATTGGTACATGATTCAAGTAACCATGCAATATAAATAATAAACAGGTGAAAATTTATCACGAAACATTTTTACAACGGTAACTAAACCACCTGCTAATATGTTTGATATTTGTAAAAAAAAATTTAAGAATTATTGGCTAAAAATGAAGATGATTTGAAATATGGATACAAAAATCCTAGCCACTATTGGAGAATGAGAAAAAGAATAAAAATACAGAGGTATAAATAATTTGTATTCTATTTTCTTATCCATGGTACCTGCCTAAAATAATTTTGAGAATATAACTACTGGGCGTATGCGTCAGACCCAACTCCAACTTTACTCATCAACGTATAGTAGCATAAGCATACACAGCATTTGTTGAGTGAGAGTAGCAGGGACTACAACTCAAAACTGAGTCGTTAAACACCTGTGAATGCCGGTAGAAGATTAGCCGCGTGTATTTTCTTTTAAATTTTAAATAACAAGGTAGTTAATTAAAGAGTTACTTTTGCTATTTATACCGACACTTTCATCCCAATTTTTTAAGAATGTTGATCGATACTCTGGTTTCGTTTATCAACTCTAATTGCATTTAAACTGAAAAAAATGTTCTTATGTGTAATAATAATTTTTGATGTGATTAATTTACAGGGCATGTTACGATGAAGTTTATAATATTAATTGCCACTACATTTATACAATCGAGTGAGTAAAATTATTTTTTTTTTTTTTGCTTGTACTGATATTAGTATATTACATACCTAGGCCAGTAAAATAAGAAAAGTCTCAGACCACATGTAATTGTTGGCCGAGGCGAAGCCGAGGTTGACAAACATGTGGTCTGAGGCTTTACTTTTTACTGGCCAAGGTGTGTATACTATTTTTCTGCTCGACGTAGCCGGCAGAAAGTTGCCACTTTCCGGACGGATAGTGGCAACTTTGTTTAGCGCAGCGGCCAGAAAGTTGCCACTTTCCGGCCGGAGGGCAGAAAAATATATATTGTTAATTATAAATGAATGAGTTAATGTTTTATTTGAAGTAAAAATAATTTCTTTTTCATTCTATAGTCACTTGTCAAAGAGCTCCGATGATATCACACATATCAGAGAAACAAATAAAAGACATTGGTGGTACTGTTGAATTACAATGTTCTGTTCAATATGGTCAAGAGTATCCAGTCTTGTGGATGAAAACAGATCAACAGACAGGTGACCAAACGCCACTTTCTGCTAAGACATCGCTGATTATTCGTGACAGTAGATTTGCTCTTAGATTCGATACAGCTACTGCGACATATACTCTTCAGGTAAATAAGAAATATTTACAAATATATTTTGTAAACAAATCTTAAAAAGTTTATTATTAGCTGTATTTCAATTCATGTATTTTAATTAACATGAATACTACAAAAATGTCGATATTCTAGTTTTTACTTCCCCTTACTTTGGGCTTCAAGTTTTAAATTTAGGGTCTATGAGATAAGATCTGGAAACGATTTCCTGAAGGTTATTTGGTATGAGGTCTTTAAATTTCAAGTCCTTTTTTGAAGGACGGTCAGTTTTTTAGTATTTCTATCAGTTGAATGGAATTGTTGAACCTTTTTAATACCTAAAGTAAAATCATAAAAAAATTATTTTTTTATTTTTTAGCTGTTTTATACTCAAAGATAGAAAAAAAAGCTAAGTCGCGGGAATTTGTTGAAGTTTTAATAAAATTAAAACTTAAGTCATACCTAATTAATATGATACGATCGACATATATTTTTTTTCTTTTTCAGATCAAAGACATTCAAGATATTGATGCTGCGTTTTATGAGTGTCAAGTGCTACTTTCTTCAACTAATCGAATTCGTCGTAAAGTTGAACTTCAAGTTCGCCGTGCTCCATTTATCAGTGATAACTCAACACGTAACGCACAGGTTACCGAAGGTCAACCTGTCACGCTAGAGTGTTATGCAAGTGGTTATCCTGCTCCTAAAATTTTTTGGCGTAGAGAAAATAACGCTATTTTACCCACAGGAGGCTCAATATACCGGTACGACTATCGCAGTAATTTTTTGTTTAAAAATAACTTGTAATTTAATTTTGAGTTTGAACGTCTAGTTATTTGATTCTTATTTATACTTTATCTTATAGGCGATGAAGTATAAAGGGAAAGTTTACTTAAAGTTGCGAAGTACACGATAACATGTTTGGGAACTTTGAATGAGAAAAGTTTGTTACTGGTTAATTCATAACTATAAATAACTCGTTGCTAAAATAAAGATAATTAATTCGCTACTGATTAACTTTATAGTATGTCGAGTAAATGGGCTCTGATTACGAATGCAATACAATACTTATAAATTGAAATCGATTATTATTTATAATTGTTAGAAGAAGATTATTTACACCATCTCAATTTATAAATATCGTATTGTAGAATTTGAGTTTATTGATTTATATTGGAACTAAAATTTATAATTATTGTCATTATGAACGCAACTTATACAAGTATCGAATAAGACTAATAAACGTATTGTTAAATGTACAGAGGAAACGTATTGAAGATACCAGCAGTACGAAAAGAAGATCGTGGAACGTATTACTGTGTTGCTGATAATTCAGTTGGTCGAGGTACCAGACGGAACATCAATGTCGAAGTTGAATTCGCCCCAGTAATAACAGTATCCAGACCCCGAGAAGGTCAAGCTCTGCAGTTTGATGCTGAATTGAAGTGTCGCGTTGAAGGTTACCCTAAGCCCATAGTAACTTGGTTAAAAAATGGAGCAGAATTATCAAACAATCAACATTACATTATATCACCGTTTACTACTGACGATGAATATACTGATGCAACCCTTCGTATAGTCATCGTCGAGGAAAAACAATATGGAGAATACGTTTGCCGTGCAAATAACAAACTTGGCTCGAGTGAAGCTAAAATTGAACTTTACGGTTAGAATTATTTATTTTATTTTCACAGTAAAATATTATTACAAATTATACTTGCTTGCTGTCGTATAAATACTTTGCACAAGTATATTGTGTCATTGTCATCAAATTTAGCTCGTATTGAGGTCCTGGCTTTGAGTAAACTTGATTTAAGTCATTATGTAATTTATTAAGCATGTTATTAGTTTTTTGCTCATTTATTTCCGCAGAAACAATAATCCCGGTATGTCCTCCGGCTTGCGGACAAGTCATGTACGGAACAGGTGTTATTACAGTTTCATATGCACCTCTCATAGCTCTCGTATTGATAATAGCGGCGTTGTAAGTATATTGTTGTTATTTTTTTTTTTTAACTAAATACTTTTTAATATAAAGCAACATGAGTTTCAAAATTTTTTTTACTTAACTGAATGTGGGCTGATTCATCCCCAATGAATCTTTATGCATTTTTTATCTAAATAAATTCAATATATAGTTAAATAATTTATAAATGAAATTTTTTAACTAATAAAATTAAATGTAATTCTGTTACAGGAACTTTAATGCCAAATATTGATTATCCTGGTTTACATTCACCGACGGGACATGAAAATTTTTTATTGGTGACGTCTCACTTTGATAGTAATAAGTAGGGCCCGGAATTTCACCCTATTCGCCGAATTTGAAATAGTAATTTCATCCAATAAAGAATATAAAAATAAAATGATTAAATTGTTCATAATTATAAATAGCTCCGACAGTACAAATCTTTATAGATTTTTATGTAAATTTTGTACAATAATGATTTTTACTCTTTATTATTTTTATAAAGAAATAAAATCGATATAAGTGAGATAAATAAATCAATAACGAAAAAATCATAATAATAAATAGTTAACAAACTCTTTAATAAAATACTTTTTATAATTTTTTATTATATTTTGTATGACATTTTTAAATTTTATTAAAAATAAATTTTTTCATGTAATATTAACAATTGTTAATTTTAATAATCAATTAAGAACATTTAAACACAGCTTTACTGACTTCTCCTTTACTAAGTGCTTCCAAAGCTTCTTTATACTCGGATAATTTATAAATCTTGATTCCCAGTTTGTTGTAGTCTAAATAATGATCAGACATGGCTTGAACTAGCGCTAATCCTTTTTCGAAAGTATGTGGGTTAATAATCACTCCCTTGATGGTCAATTCGTTCATGTACATCTAAAAAATAAAAAATATAACATTCTTAACTATAAAAAATAATAGTTAATTTTCAAAATCCAACTGAATTTTTCTGACCTTGAATGGACTAATAGCCATCGTCGCGTCAGGTTTCGCAACTCCAAAAACGCAGAGACAACCACCACGACGTAAAAGTGGAAAAGCAGCTTCCATAGCAGCTGCTGAGCCACTACAGTCTATTGCCAGGTCGAATTTTTCGTTAGTCAAGTTCTCCATACTACTTCCCTTGTAATCGAGATCTAAATTTTCCAATATTTAATGTAAATTTATAAAATAAAAAAATTTTTATATTTTTTTTTATTTATTTGCAAAATTACTCACTGAGTTTTTCAATTTGTTTTTGTCTACTGGGTAGACGCTCAGCAACAGTAACAGTTTTTCTAAGACCATTAATGTGCAAAACACACGCCCAAAGCAATCCAATTATTCCTGCTCCAATGATGAGAACTTTGTGCCCAATATTTACAGGGCTTAATATATCCCAGCCATGGGCTATGCATGACATTGGTTCAGTAAGAGCTGCTTGATGCATTTCTACGTCGTTTGGGACTAAATATACCTTTATAAATAAAATTATTAGTAACAATTAATAATAGTAGTATAAATAATAGTGACACTGAAGTTAGCCAGACACTTGAAAATTTTTTTATTTTCCTTTAAAAATAAACAACGTCTAGAAAATTATTTTTAAATAAAAAGTAGCCTTTATAATTTTTTAAAACTTCTAAAGATGGAATTTTTAAAATAAATTTTTCTTGTTATAATTTATTTGTTGAAAAAATTTTTAAAGTTATATGAAAATTAATTTTGCAGATTTTTAACAATTTTTGTGACAAATAAATGATGGAAAAAAATTGACATATAGAAATTTTGAAAAATAAAAAATGCAATTTTTTAAAAATAATTTTTCAGAAAAAATTAAAAAATGTTCAAGTGACTGCTAATTTTAATGTCATAAAATTATCAGATGTCTCTTAATTTCAGTATCATAAATAATAATAATAATAATAATAATAATAATAGTGCCAACAGTAAATAATAATAAAGTTAGCCAACATTTTTTATTTTTTGATTTTGCTTAACTTATTAAGTTGGAACTAAAAAATATTTTTTTTAATTGCACTTACAGTTTTTCAAATTTTTTACAAATGAAATTAAAAAAAATTCTAAAAATTTTTAGATGTCAGCTATCTTAATTGGCATTAACAGTAATACCTGACTTTCTGGTACAAGTACATGAGTCGCCCATCCACCGTCTCGGAAAATCCCAATAGTATTATTAATGCCGCCATTGTCACAGAAGTGGTATCGCCCATCTCGACAATGATTACATTTATTACATCCACTATTAGGGTCCACAGCTACTCGCTGACCAACTTTAAATCCTACGACCTCCTTGCCCACACTTTCGACAGTCCCAGAAAATTCATGACCAAGACTGAACGGAGCATCAGTTTTCGCGGGAAATGAACCCTAATAAAATAAAATCAAATTGAATTAAATTAGATTACTTACTGCAATTAAAACACAGTTAAAATATTTATGTATTATATTACATATATTTGTGACTTACATTCAAAATATGAAGATCAGTTCCGCAGATTCCGGAATAAGCGACTTTTATTAAAATTTCCTCGCCCTTGGCTTTTGGAATGACACATGTTTCAAGCGTTAATTGTTTTGTTTTTGGGTCAAAACTCAAGTACTCCATTGTGGGGCTTGATTTTATCATCGCGCACGATGTCGACTGAAGTTATAGCACGACTGCGTACGCTAAAGTTATTGAGCATATTTATATAACAAGTAGTTATTAATAGCAATAAAAATTTACCCCATCTTATCGTAGATACAGCAGAAAAATAATATTGATTGGATGACACTAAGCTCTGCTATGTATGTCGAAATACCAAATGCGAAGAAGTACGAAATACAAATTTTAAAAATGATAATGTTAAAAATTTTTTTTTTGTTTTTAATTATGGATGGATTACTTGATTTATAGTAATATTTTTTTCAGTTATTATTATTGTTCTTGTACGTCAATATTGTTGAAAAAAAAATATTTTTATTTGGAATGATAAGGATGTAATCTCCGGTTAGATTATGTTGTGTAAGAAAAGTGTTATGTAAATAAATATTAGTAGTTATAATTATATTTACATGTATGAGTATCATAAGTGATTAACGATGCACTATTAGATATCAAGATATTTTTATTTATTATCTGATACGATAAATACTTAACTAACGGCAAAAGTAATTTGAAAATATTTCCTGTTAGATATTTTAATTTTTTAAGTTTTTAGAAAAAATTTTGATTAGTTTAGATGATTATATACAATAGAAAAATTGTTTTTTGAGTTATAAAAATTTTTAAATTGACATTTGGTAGTTTTTTGAAGTGTTAAATTATTTTACAGAATTAAGAACAAATATTTAAATTTAAATTTAATTAAAATTATCAATTTATAAATATTATTTATATAAAAATACTTTATTGGAGGACAATTTTGCGGTTACAAGTAAGCGTCTGCAATTTTATTCGATTAAATACTTAAATAATCTCTTAAATAAAAAAACATGTTCTATATTTAGTTTGAATAAAATCCAATAAAATGTCCATATATTCAAATTTTATCATCGTCTGCTGATTATTTCTCTGCGCATTACTTGTATGTTGATGCAAATTCTTGAATTACGCAAGAGTTATCTCTATTAGACTTAAACAATTTTAATTTATGGAGATGTAATCTTGTGAATGGAAATATTTTTAACTTTTTGTCGAGACAATAACAATTTATTTCAATTATTTTAATAGATCTAGAAAACAATATATTTCATAGAATTATTTTTTTTGCGCTATTATTGTTTTAAAATACAGAAAAAACAAAAGCGAAAAATAAAATTAAATTTATTTATGAATATAAAAATATAAAATTTAATAATAATAAATAAAAATTAAAAAATATATTATTAAAATATTAAATAATTAGTTCCAAAAATTTTCATGAAAAAGTAAATTTAGTAAAAGTTTTTTTTAAAATAGCCGCTTTTAAATTTGCCGCGTTTTTTCTACCGCCATCTTGTGGACTGTTGAACAAGTATGCGCAACTAAGCGGTTAGTTTTGTATAAACATAACCCAGTTACCTCATGTCACTCATGTCACCCTGCTTGGCAAAGATCATGTTCGTTATTCGTTTTTCATTATTGTAAAGTAGCTTTCTTCGGTTGTACTAATTAAATTCATAAAATATTAAGATAAAACTATAAAACAATACCGGAAAAAATTATTAGAAAAATAATTTTTAAAAAATGAGCCATATAATAGTAATTAGAGAATACAAACCGGGAGACGAATTAAACTGTCACGGTATGATGACAAATAGCATAATGTCATCATTGAATTCAACGTTTCTCGCTAATGTTCTTAAAGAATTAACATTTCAATTGATGATTTTATCTGCGGCGATTATGTTTATATTTTTTGGACTTTCGCTTACTATTTGCCTTTCAGTAATCCCAATTACAATAATAGGTACTTACATAGGAACTTATTTGGGATTTTTAATGATGACTGCTGAAATAAATCAAGAGTTATCAAACATATCCAGGTATCAATAATTTTTATTTTATTTAATTTTAAGTAATAAGTGATAAATAAAATATATCGTATTAACTGAGAAATTTAATTAATTTTTAATGACATTAAAGTTAGCTCGGCTGCCCAATTTTAATACATAATCGCAAAATTTTTATACTTGATTTTTTTAGTATTGCTGCATTTCTTATAACAACTTTTAGACCTTAAAATTAATTTAGACCTTGAAATTAATTTCAAGTATTTTTTCTTAAAAATATTTATATTCAAGAATTTTCTATTAATAAATCAAATTTTTTATCAATTAGGCGCGCAAACTTATTTTTAATAAGATAAATTTATGACATTAAAGTTAGCAGTCACTTGATTATTTTTTAGTTTTTTTTTTTTTTAAACAAATAAATTTGTTCCAAAAAAATTATTTTTGAAAAATTGCATTTTTAATTTTTTTAAATTTCTACATGTCAATTTTTTTGCCATAATTTATTTAATTTATTTGTTAAAAAAATTCTTAAAATTATCGAATATCTGCTAAATTAATTTTCATGAAAAATTTTTAAAAATCTTAAAATTGTCAGTTACTGTGTTTTGAAATTGGATAGCCGAGCTGTCACTTGACAATTTTTAAATTTTATTTAACAAAAAAATTATTTAAAAAAAATTCCATTTTTTATTTTTTTAATTTCTACATATCAATTTTTTTTCTTGTCATAATTTATTTGTTACAAAAATTTTTAAAACTATCAAAAATCTACTAAATTAATTTTTATTATTTATTATTTTTTAACAGACTTTACATGTCAAACCTGTTCTCGTGTTTTTGGGTAGCAGAAGCGTTCCAGCCTTACTCGATGATCCGTAATCCAGCCGACGTGAACTACACAGTAATGACAGAGAAAGAGTTTCGCGATTCAAATATCGACGTGTCGTCGCAGTTGAAAAAAATCGTAGGTACCATTGGATTATTAAAAAGTTACAAAAGCGACAAGGGTGCATGGATAAAAAGGTTGTGCGTTGCCAAAAATTACCGGCGCAAAGGAGTCGGCTCTTGCTTGCTTAACACTGCGGTTCAGTTCGCTGTTGACCAAGGATACAGCAGCGTTGATCTTGTTTTCTCCGAGTACAGTGACGGTTGTCGGGAACTGTGTTTCAAAAAGGGCTTTGAACTGAAACAGATGTACCACAAGTCCATTATTGGACCAGTTGTCAATGTTCTTCAATATGAACTAACGTATAAGATAAAACCACACGATGATTACATTGATAGTTATTATAATAATTATCAGAACTATAATCATCCAAAACAGCATTTTCTTTAGACTGATTAGAATAATTGATACAATATTTTTTTTAAAAGTCACTTTGATAAAGTTAATTTTTATACTTAAATTTTTTTATATACTCTGAATAAAAGTGCAATTATGTATTAGTCTAAGTAAAAGTGCCTTAAAAGAACAAAATTTATATTGGAATAAAATAATTAATAATATTAATTAATTTTTATTATTTAGGATGAATTATTTATGGAGATAAGTTAGAAGATAGAAATATTTAGTGGATAATTTTTTAGATAATTAACTTAAGGGGTTACATGGATTTCACGGTATCAAAATATCGAGTTTTTTTTAATGTTTTATTAAATTCTCAACATCTCTAGAAGATTGCCCTAAAGTTTCAAATCGATCCGAATAATAGTTTCGGAGATACAGTTTTAAGAAGTTATGTGCTCAAAGCACTGTTGTATTGTCACTCAAAACTTTAAACGTGTTTTTCTCAAAACTATGTTTTCAAAGACGGTACCCACGATTTCTTGATTACTACTCAACCGATCTTGATGAAATTTTAGACAGATCTTCAAGATATAATTTACAAGGACTTGAATGAAAGATTTTTTTTTTTTTTCAATTACAACTATTTAAAAAAAAATACGGCGAAATTTTTAATTTTGTTGTAAAAACCCCTGCTAAAAATCCAATTTTCATTTTTTTTCTTTCTTTCAAATTCTAGTTTGTAGTCTTGATTAAAGCACATATTTTTTTTTCACTTCAAATAATCTTGCTAGGAGTTCTACTCATCACGCGGACGCATCTTTTTTTTCCGAGGGCTCGCCGAAAATGACGTCACATTAGCAGAGTTTTTAATATTTTTTTTTTTTAATTTCAGTAATCCCTTATTAAACATTTTTCTTTGAGACAGTAAAAAGTTTGAATAAAATATTTCATTTTATCTATTAAAAAATAATTGTTGAAAATAGGCCATTTTTTTCCGGAGGAAACCCATGTAACCCCTTAAACTTGGAAATTTTAGTTGTATGTTAGACTGTCTTGAAATAATAATTTTATTAACTATTGTGTTTTTTAACAAGTATTTTTAATAGTTTAGTATGTTGTTTTATTTAGCGATTGAAAACTTTAATGATTCGGTTTTATTGTTTTATAGATAGCACTTTGATTTAATTTTTATCATTAAATTTCGTAATCATTAAAAAAAAATGAGAATCAGGGTAAATATATAGACGTGGAGTTTAAATTATCAATTTGACTAAAAACGATTTATTTCAATCATAAATTCTTTGGAATTTTACTTAAAAGATAAATTCAGTAACAAAATATAAGATAATAGATTTTTATTTTTTTAATTTATCCAAAGCTGCCTGGTAAGCTTTGATTTCTTTTCCTTCCCAGTGTGATCCTTTGATCTTTGAAAAAAAGCTGGAAAACAAAAAAAATTAATGTGTATCTAAGTGTAGAACAATAAAAAAAAATAGTAGATTATAAAATACTTTTTCTGTAGATTGTCTAGTAATTGTAGTTCTTTATCACTGATATCATTATTAGCAATGTCAATATTAGCTTTCAATTGTTCCATGTTTTGTATTCCGATAAGATTAGTAGCAACATCATCACACTGCATTGAAAACCAAATGGCTAATCGTGCGAGATCTGAACCGCTTTTTTTACAATATTCAGCAGCTTCGCGGCATGTTTTCTTAATTTTATCATCTGCTGGATGCCATTCTGGCGGGCTTTGATTAGTCAGGAGCCGCATGCTCACTGCGGCAGCGTTAATTATTCCGATATTATGTTCCTGTGATAGATAGTTATTTAAATCAATAATTTGAATATAGCCGTATATTAGTTTTATTATTAATTATTGATCATATGATTAATCACCTTAAAAAATGGAATATACTCCAGTAATGTTTGGTCGATAAGAGTGTATCTTGTATAAGTTAGTATACATTCAATACTAATATTACTTTTGGATATACACTCTTTCAAAACAGATATAGGGTACCCCGTAATTCCAATGTGTCGGGCTTTTCCTGAAGCTACTTGTCTTGACAGTTCAGGCAGAGTTTGCGTTATGATGATGTCCAATGAAGGCGCAAATTCAATATCATGGACCTATTTAAATTAATTAGATAATTCATGTGAAATATGATAGAATTATTTTATTATAATAGTTATTTATATTTAAATTAAACTTTACTTGTATCACATCAACGTAATCCACTTGAAGACGTTCAAGGCTCTTTTTTAAGTTCTCTCGTGTTTTTTCAATTGAAAAGTCAAACATATTTTGATAGTCTAACTCATATCTTCCTACTTTTGTAGCAATGTAGTAAGCTTTTCGCGGAATTCCCTTTAAAGCCTATCAAAAGTATACAATTTTAGTTCTAATTAGTAAATTGCCTAATGCTATTCAAAAAAATTTTACTATTAAGTTTGTAAACTAAAAAATTAATTTTTTTGATTTAAAAAAAAAAAACATTTTTTTTCATTTCTAATGCATGAAATTTTTTGTTGAAATTAAAAAATTTTTAGAGTTAATTTAGAATTTAAGAGTTAATTTTTTTGCATCTAGAAAAAAATTCTTGTATTTTACCATGCATTTAATGAAATTTAAAATCAATATTAATTAATACACTTTTTTAAATATTTTTCAAACTCTCTAAATGCGTAATAGTTTTAATTATAAGCCTTATGATTTATGATTATAAAATATTAATCGAATTCCAATAATCGAAAACAGATAAACTAAAAAAAAAAGATTTAACTAATTAGAAGTTTTTTTACTTTTCCGATCGTTATTTCAGAGTGTCCTTGACCGTACCAATAACCTGTATCAATATAATTAATTCCTTGACGAATTGCCTGTCGGATTGTTTCAATAGCTTCGTCTTCGTCATATGTTCTATATCGTAATAACAATTCAAACATCATATTTTATTACTATTCGCTACAAAAAATATTTATTCTAATAAAAAAAAAATTTATTACCCAAAATGACATCCAAGAGGGCCTCCGCCAAAAGATAGTTTACTGACCATCATACCAGTTTTTCCTAACGGTAAATATTTCATCGATTTTACAGCCTCTAGATCATGGAAACCCTCGACGTAAGTTGGAGGAAGATTTGCCCTGAAATTATTTACGTTTGTAAACAAGAATTGATAAATAAATTTAGAGTAATAACTAAATTGCTATAAAAAAAAGCTAACTTACATTTTTGTCGATTTCTCCAATTATTATAAAATTTTATGTTTTTTTTTTTTATATCAGTAATACCCTGAAAAAAACTGGTAATACGGCAACTATTTAATGAATGTTTAGTATAAATAAATCCAAGGCCATAAGACTGCAAATTGCGTCTTAACTCTCGCTCTTTAAAGAGCAAAATAAATATCAAAAAATCTTATATTATCAATATTATCTCAGAATACTCAAGTCAATAATTACATTCTGTGACAAAAGATCAGATGCGATAAATTTTTATTTTCAACTGATAAAATCTGAGCGTACCAACGACTGATAATGTGAAACGCTAAATGTATATTAAGTGTTAAAGTCGTTTGCTGTAATAGATATCTTTTTAAATATTATTAAGATAAATTATTCAACTTTTTAGGAACAATTAAATTTTTTAGTAAAAATCATTTGATTTAAAAAGTTTCTAACAATTAGCTTTTATTGATTTTATAGTTAGGACTGATTTGATTTTTATTATTGAATTTGTAGTGATTTAAAAATAAAAATCAGGGAAAATATATAGGCGGAGAGTTTAAATTATAAATTTAATTAAAAATGATTTATTTCAATAATAAATTCTTTGGAATTTTACTTAAAAGACAAATTCGGTAACAAAATATAAGATAATAGAATTTTATTTTTTTAATTTATCCAAAGCTGCCCGGTAAGCTTTGATTTCTTTTCCTTCCCAGTGTGATCCTTTGATCTTCGAAAAAAAACTGAAAATAAAAAATGTTCAATGTGTATCTAAGCGTAGAACAATAAAAACAAATGATAGATCATAACATACTTTTTCTGTACACGGAGAGAAAAATATGGAAATCATTCCTATAATTTTAATGAAATATTTTCCTATACCATTATAGGAGCGATTACTTAAATTATGGGAATTATACCCATAATTTTTGGGAAACGTTACTATAATTATGGGAATGGTTCCTATAATTATACGAACGATACCTATAATTAAAGCTGTAATATCGGCATGATTCCCATAATATATAGGAATGGTTCCCATAATATATAGGAATAGTTTCCATAATATTATAGGAACCATTCCCATAATATTATAGGAATGATGCCAATAATATTGGAGTAATTTTTTTTCACACAACTGTGGTATTTAATTAATTACTTTTCACTAGATTTATTTTTTTTTGATTAAGTGATTCTTTTTTTATAATATATAAATTGATAAAAAAAGTTATCAGTAATAATATTTATTATTATTATCATTATGAAATTAATCAGTTGCAGCAGTTGATATTTTTTTAATCTTGAATGGTATACATGCTTGTAAATTAAAATAAAATTAATTAAAATCAATTACAAAAAAAGATTTTATTAGCAAAAAAATACATAATAATTATTTTATATTTTTAAAGTGATTGCTTCATTATTAAGAAAATAAACTTTTTTCTATTATTATGTGCGTCATTCCCATAATATATTGAAGCTATTCCGTTATTGTATAGGAACGTTTCCAATAAATTATGGGTATGGCTCCCATAATGAGTATAGGATTAATGCCTATAATGATAATTTTATTATAGGATCCATTCCCATAATTGTTGGAAAGATTCCTATAAATTTCTCTCCGTGTAGATTGTCTAGTAATTGTAGTTCTTTATCACTGATACCATTATTAGCAATGTCAATATTAGCTTTCAATTGTTCCATGTTTTGTATTCCGATAAGATTAGTAGCAACACCATCACACTGCATTGAAAACCAAATGGCTAATCGCGCGAGATCTGAACCGTTTTTTTTACAATATTCATCAGCAGCTTCGCGGCATGTTTTTTTAATTTGATCATCTGCTGGATTCCATTCTGGTGGATCGGCGTTAGTTAGTAATCTCATGGCTATTGTAGCACCATTAATTACTCCGACATTATGTTCCTGTGATACATAGTTATTTAAATCAATAATTGAAATATAACTAATATATTAGTTTTATTATTAATTATTAATCATCATTAAATTAATCACCTTAAAAAATGGAATATACTCCAGTAATGTTTGGTCGATAAGAGTGTGTCTTGCATAATTTAGTATGCAACCGATATTAACGTTACTTTTCATAACACACTCTTTCAAAAAAGACAAAGTATATCCCGTTATTCCAATATGCCGCGCTTTTCCTAAAGTTACTTGTATTGGCGCGATAATTCAGGAAGAGTTTCGTTTATTATTATGTCCACTGAAGGTGCATAATCCGCGTCATGAATCTGTAAATAATTCATTATTAAATTATGGAAATTTTGGGTGGTTTTGATTATTTATATTAATACTTACTTGTATTACATCAACGTAATCAAGTTGAAGACGTTCGAGTCCTATATTGAAGAATTTCCGTGTTTTTTCTGCCGTAAAATCAAACATATTTTGAAAGTCGGGCTCATATCTGCCTATTTTTGTAGCGATGTAATAAGCTTTACGTGGAATTCCTTTTAAAGCCTATGTTAAGAAAATTATATGATTTTTATTAAATTGTCTAATTTAAATTTTTACGAATTTTATTTTTATAAGTATAGAAATTTATAAAGAATTTTATAAAAAGTAAAAAATTTGCGCTTCATTTCTTGAACGATTTTATTATAATCATACGACTTATAATTTTTAAAAATCTAAAATTTTGCAGTCATATTCTTGCTTCTATTTGAAACTTAAGTAATAAATTACAGAATTAATGAATAAAATATAATTTATAGTTAAATTAATTATTCTTTATAAATACTTGATAAAAATTAATACAATTAAAAAAAAATGTTTTTGAGAAATCAAACGATATTTTTTCATTTTAAAATTAGACCAATTAGTCTCTAAAAAAGTTTCTTAAAACTTTTAATAATTGAAGAACAAATATTTCAAATAAGCAATCAGCTAATGAGATACAAGTTTCATTTACCTTTCCAATAATTGTTTCCGAGCGCCCTTGACCGTACCAGTAGGCCGTATCAATATAATTAATTCCTTGACGAATTGCCTGTCGGATTGTTTGAATAGCTTCTTCTTCGTCACAAGTTCTGTATTGCAATAATAATTCACAAATTATTATTATTTTATATTAATATATTCTTTTAAAAAAATAATAGCATCAATAAAAAATTTTTTACCCAAAAAGATTACAAAGCGTTGCTCCGCCAAAACCCAATTTGCTAACCATCAGACCAGTTTTTCCTAACGGCGAATATTTCATAGATTTTACAGTTTCCAGATCGTGGAAGCCCTCGACATAAGTTAGCGGAAGACTTGCCCTGGAATTTTAGGCTTCATTAGTAATTTACAGACATTTTTTATGAAAAATTACTTAAAAAGTAATTTACTTACATTATTTTATTTTCCTTCTAAGCTAATAAAACTTTCTTGACAATAATAACGCAGTAGATAGAATAAATGTTGATTGTTTATTAAGGCGCAGTTGGAATACTTTAAAAGCAACTAGTGGATTCATATATCTTGCTAGTGTATTATATAAGGATATTGATTTTAAAAAAAATTTATAATCTTACGTCATCAATGTAGTCTTAGAACATAAAAGGCATTATTCAAATAATTATTTTCATATAAAATAAAAATATATATGAATGGCAATGATTTTTTATTTATTCTTATCTTTCGCTGATAATGCCAGAGCGTACCAGCAACCGATAATGGAAAAATAGATATTAAAATATAAAATTATTTACGCATAAACAAGTTATTTTATTTTTGATTATTGAAAATGTTTTATTAATTTTAAATTTTAAGAATTTTTAATTTCAGACATTATTTTCATAAACATAATATCTTATAACTTTTTTTTAAATTTGTATAGTGTAATTGAAAGTTCTAATTCTAAGGTTTAAAATACTAATTCTTAATTTCAATTCAATTAATTTGAAACTAAGAATCTGCGGTACTTATGACTGCCGAGAATTACGAATCGCGAATAAAAGAACTTTAGTTTAATAATTTTTGATATTTTTAACAACATACATACACAGAAAAAAAAACTTCTTGCACCAAGAAAATTTTAAGGAAGACAAAAGTTATTTTGGAGCAAGAAGAAATTTTCTTGGCTCAAGAAACTGACTTCATTCAAAAAATTTTCAATCTTCCTTCATACACTGAGAAAAAAAATACTTTATACTCAATTAAAAATTTCTTGGTTCTTTATTTAAATTAAGTAAAAATTCTTTCAATCAATTTAACAATTTCTTGTTCAAGAACATAAATTCTTGTATCAAGAAAATTTTCTTAATAAAAGTATTTTTTTTCTCAGTGTATTTTTTTGAGCCAAGAAAATTTAGTCTCCAGTCAAGAATTTTTTTTTTCAGTGTAGTTTAGATACTTTTTAAATAAATAAAAAATATAATATTGCTATAACAGGATCAATTACCGATAAGTTAATGGAAAATATAACGGATCAATCTTAAAAAACCAATGAACTATTCAAAACTTATCCAGAAACTTTACATAAAAAATTTACTCTCATTAAAAAATGAATAAACTCGTGAAAAGAACAAATTCAGGCCAAAACCTTTCTGATGATATCAGATTTAACTAAAAAACTCTATTTTCTCATATAAATACGCCGAAAAAAATTTCCTTATTTTTCTTCATTACATAAATGATACCTAGAAAAAAGTTACTAAAAGATTTTTTCTGTTTTAAAATTTTTTTTTAACAAAAAATAAAAATAGTGTCAATCTCGGAAAAAGAGAGAACTTTTTTGCACTGTTCAATTACCGTCCGGATTTTTATTGTTATATTAAATTACGAACGAAATCTTCCGAGAGTCGACAATATAATTAGTCATAATTGATTTTCGTGGGTATATACATATTATATAGTAACAATTTCAGGACAGCCGCGTTAATTCCCGATGGATTTCGATATAGACGCAATGCCAACGCAAGCTGTTTCCTATTCGCGTATATGATTGAATATATGTCTGCTCGATCTGTATATATCATGACTATGCCATTATTCACCTTGTACCCATCACAAATCCTCTGCAGAGACCCGGGATAGATAAAATTTTTGAAAACATGAAAAAAGTTTACTCACGCTAAAATTCAAGTTATTTATGATCAATGAAAAATATCCATTATGAACGTAAAGCGTAAACGTACTGGGTGTTTTTATATCGGTGAAAAAGTTGTTTAGATAAGTTAGCACTCTGATCGATCAAAATGTACCCTTTTTAATATTAAATGCACATTGAGGATGATGAAAAAAAAAAAAAAAAAAAGTTTGTGTCGCTGGTAGTTTTGTGAGATTTACATGATCTTAAAGTTTAAATTGTTCCATCAGTTAGATTTGACCTTATCATAAATTTACATAAATATTTGTATACAGATAAATCTGATAAAAAATGATCTAGAAGTATTATACAATATTAATATTTTAGTCTAAATGATCGTTATTTATGATAAAATTTTGTGGCTTACACTTTTAGGTAATGTAAAAGTAATTATGAGATGAAATATGCTTCAATAAAAAGCTCTAACTTCCCGCTGCGAGAAATAAAGTCTTTTAATTTAGTAATGGTTCTATAAAAATCTATCTTTATGAAAATTTTAATGAATTACGTATTTAATTTTTTATTCGAAACTATAAAAAATCATCTTTTATTTGTTGTGCTTATTATAGTTTTGATAATATAATATTATTTGCGCACCATTAAATAAAGGTTTAGGTCCATTAAAGCGATAATGTAAAATCTAATTTTTTATGTTCTGCTATAACTCTTTTATGAGATTTTAAAGATTGAAAATTTACTAGTAATATACAAGAAAAAAAGTCGTAATAAATTTATAGACATTTTATAAAAATTTAAACAATAAAAATATTTGCGCAGTGACAGTTAAATTAAAATACTTTCGAGAAATTAAAAAAATTATTGCAATAAAAAATAATAAAAATTTTTTGACCGTTTTCTATCTAAGGTTTTAAAAATCTCGAGTGACCTTAAAAAATTATTTTATATATAATACCTGATCTCTGAAGAGGGCTCTTAAAATGTGATAAACTAACATATTTTCACATGAAGCTCCAAAAAATAAAATACTTCATTTTTTTGCGCCTTTTTACTGAACATCGTAAAGTTCACTTACGAGCAGAGAAGTTTGAATTATTTCAAATAATGCTTTTCATAAAAAATTTACAATGTAACAATAATGTCATAATATTAAATAGTAAAAATACGAAGTTAACATCGTAAATTCAACTGATACTCTATTTCCGTGTAAATTTATGACGTAAATGTTATATTCTTTCATTTCTCATGTTCAGTTATAAAACAATTGAGATCTGAATCATAAATGTTTACATTTCCTTGAATTCAACGTAAAACATATATATATTGAAATATTGTCGTGTAGAAACTTCATAAAACTTTATCAAAAGCATCTACAATATTATTTTTCAATATTTTTATTTTTTTGAGCTTATATTATAAAATTGAATCTCTTAAAACTTATAAAAATAAATTTCTCAAATAGCTATTCTCATTTCCAGGGCCTAATTGAAAAAATCTGCAGAAACATAATATAGTTAAACGTAAACACATTTTTTAAATCAAAATAATCCTTAAAAATATAAAAACGCTTACAAAATACAGTAAAGAAAAAATAATAGTGAGATTAAATTTGTAATATGTCTCTGGTTTACATCCGCAATATTTGCTAACAATCAAGCATAAAATTAAAATGATTCAATTAAATAAAACAAATCGTGACTTGAATATATTTTTATTCACTATTAAATATTACGGTTGTACTTTAATTTCATGAATAATGTAACCACAAAAAATCAATATTATTTTTCTCCAATTTAATTGAAAGAAATTCACCACAATAACCGTTGAAGGTACTCGTAATTCTATTTGTAACTGAAAATAAGTAGAAAAAGTAAATACTTGAAAATATTCTAATAGACCGCTATGCTTCAAGGACTCGATGAGTTGAAAATCCTTGAATTTGAATTGCTAATTTATCAACCTAGTCAAAGATTAACGCTTCATTGTACAGTAATGATGACTTTCGCATAAAATTGTTCTGTAGTTTTTCCGAAGATCATTTGTCGTATAGGTACCCGCATGGAAAAATATATGCAAATATATATTTTAACATATTTTTTTTTGCGTTAAATATATGTTCGCATATATGTTTACATATATGTGCGCATATAAATGCACAGAAAAAAATTTAACTTGAATCAAGTAAATAATTTTGAAGAATTTAACTTTCTTGATTTGAGTAAAAAAAATCTCAAACTGAGAAATTTTTTTTTTTTAGTGTATACTTACAAATATGTCTACATATATTTTAGCATATATCCTCTGCATATATGTCAGCATCTATGTGAAAAATATATGTTGACATATTTTTTTTTGCGTAAATATATGCGGCATATATATTATATATGCGACATATATATTTCTCCATGCGGGTAGTGTTCTTTTCAGTGAAATCATCAAATTTTTGATTTCTGCATAAATTCAATATAAATTCAAGACTATATTTTTTTCTGTAATAACAAAAAGCTTCAGTTTTTGAAAACGCACATTGAAAAATTAAAAATAGCTTTAATTGAATTTTTTTATCACTTTTTTTGATAGAACGTGTACTCGTAACAATAAAATTTATGTTTTTTGTATCCAAGATTTAATGATCGGGAAAATTAAATACTTTATTTATTCTATTTACGACTTTATTTTTTACGTTCAAATAAATGTTATTTTATTTAATTAAAACTGAAATGGAAAAAAAATGTAAAAATTAACAAAAAAAGTTCTTCAAAACTAGTTCATTTTTTTTAACCATTAAGAGTAGAAAAGAATCTGTTAAACTGCCATCAAATAAAATCATCTTTACAATTTTAATTAAAAAGTTTCTTAATAATACAAATATAACAAGAAACCGATTCGATTGATTAGCTGTCACATTTTTCATTGTTGCTTTTTAGTTCAAATATTCTTATAGAGTAAAGGCACCGAAAAGTTGATGGGAACGCTGACGGGTTAACAATTTGCGTGTAAAAACTTATTAGAGATAATATGGCTATTATTTGTGTATAACTTATTAATCCCAAACTAAAAAGCCAACAATACATGATTAAACATAAACAACCTGTCGATATTATTCAATTACTTTTGAAAATAAGTACAAAGTCGATAACAGATATCGTTAGCCGTTAGCGCGTTAGTTTCTGCCAGAAATTGTACGAGATTCGGCATTGATTAGTATAACACATCAACTGTAATGATTCACG